AATGAAGTTTGCATTCTAAAGTTCGGTAGGCTGATGCGACTATAAGTTGCAAAGCGACATCAGGTGTCCCAATAACAGATAATAGCTCAGATGATAAACCAACCAAAGTAATTACTGCAACAGTGCTCAAATTTAGCAATGAAAAGAGTTCATTGAACACCTGCATCGGCAAAAGACAAATGAAGTTAATGGTTAAGAACAATGTCCCCATACAAGGTTTCATTATCATTTATTCATTGCAGCCCAGTGAATCTATTGGATGGCGATGAAGATAGAATGGCCTACGCTGCTGCTTTTGGTTCAACAGCTACTAATTGTTTGACTTTGATTCAAGGTCAATTTATACCAGAAGATTGTCCTATCTGGTTTAAAAGTAAGTTGAAAAGAAGGAATGCGGCTGATCACGGTTTATGTTATCTATAAAATCACATTGAAAATCCAAATCACTTTGTCATGAGAGCTTTTCTCCAGAAACCAAAATTGTTACCGATACTTTATCGTGAATAACCCCGGATTATTAAGCTTTATACCGGCAATTAAAAAGCTACAAATGCCTCTGGAAATTTGGCGTTGAACTCATTCTGCTCAGAAAACGGGTGGAAATTCTAAAAATATCTTAAAATATAAAATGGCATTACACCCGTTTAGTAACATTTCAACTATGTTGTAGTTCCATACGCCATGCTAGCTGTAATCGAAATGGGTATAGATTATTATCCATTGTTTGCCTGTTTATCTAAGAAAACTAGTCTAATAGATTCTGTAATTGGTCTTGTTTACAGTGTACTTTGGTAAGCATATGTTATTCTTTAATGACCTTCTGTGTGCTTCTGATATTACCAACATGTTCACATTCGCAAAGTTTCATCTTCCCTTTTTGAAGTATGATAGTAAAGAATATTTGAAGAGCAATTATATTGTCGTATTTTACAAGGGCTTCAAGTGACGTTCTAAGAATACTTCCTCCAAACCCAAGCCACTTGCCAATGGTCTTCCGTGCCCAAATGGAGCTAGATCTCGAGGAGATACTGTGGCTCAACTAGATGAGTGGGTGGACTTGGTTCAACCAGTCACTATTGTTTGGTATAACTATCTGATTATATTTGCAGGTTTCTAGTGAATCTCGCCCATTGTTTTGATTGTACCAATAACGACGAATGGGTAAGTGATTATTTTTTTAAGCGGCAGCATTAGACGAGTAAGTTGGTAAATGAAATGATGTTTTATTTATTTTTGCTCATGATTGGGTTCATAAATACTGATAACGTCATGCAATGTACACTTTCTACATATCTGGTATTTACTGGAGGGTTCGATTTGACTTCTACGACTTCTAGTTAATGGTGCCAATGAGAGAATCTGGTGATTTGATGTATTTAATCGATCTGAGAACATCACAGTTACCATCAGTTGCTATTATTTGCAAGTTGACATTGGACTGGGTCGTCGGTTTGGGGGTACGGACTGTACGGACAGCTGATCACTTGACAAATGCTCACCAAACGATTGCGCGCAATGAAATGACAAATAGGACAATTGCTCACCACAAAATAACATATTCTTTGCTTAATGCTTCTTTTAAGTGGTTATCACTTTTTTTTATATTTTTAACGACATGTGTTGTCAAAGTATGACAGCAGAGAGTTCAAACTAGGCTAACCTGGGGTGTTGTCGCGCTGGTATACCAACCCCTTCTTTACCTCATTTACAGGCAGGATGGCTAGCCCATCAATCGTTTCAGTGAAGTTAGCTCCATTACCTAAGGCTTGGATTTATTTTTTTCGTGGGAAAACTATGACATTTGACAGTTAGTAGGTCATAGTGATAACTAACTTGTACTGATTTATTGACAAGGATAACATATTTTAACACGCGTCCTTATATTGTCTGACCAAGGTCGTGAGCCACCAGTCTCAGACAGGCGACAATCTTTTACGAAATGAAGAGTTTAACCAACATCCTTTAGATGCTCTGTACGAACTTTTTGGAATCGAAGAAATGATTTAACAAAGTCAATTAACGCTAATAATCGCGCTCTTGCATCGTTCGAAAGGCGCACTTGTAATGTCATCTAATTGAAAAACGAAATGGAAATGAGGTTTACGTCATACTTTCCAGCTACATATTTGAATTTATTTATGAGCCAAAAACCGAGCACAGTGTGATGTTTACTTCTTTCTTGATTTTAACTGCATCTTTGTAGACGGTACCTTGGCATTTTGTCGAAGAACTATAATATTTCCCTGTTAGCCCTCCGACCTAAATCAATAACAGAGGGAAGCTTAATTAAAAATCAGAAGGGATTATGACGACCTAGTCTCCGGTCCCGAAAAATTAAAATAATTTCCGTAGCAATGCATTGAATAATCTGGTGTTGGTATTTTCAATCTCCGATTGTGTGACAGCTATTTTTTTAATCGCAATCTTTGACATGTTTATCAACGTACGTCAAAATGATACACTTTTTAATACTTCTAGGCTTGTTGACCTTTACTACCAAGACTTAACCACTCCATCATCTCATTTCAAATGTAAGGCAAGTACATGTCAGACGGTGTGTAGCTCAGTGCATGCATGATGTGCACAATCCACCTTCACGAACACGCCTTAGATCTCGAGGTCTTGGGTATTTGTGGAACTGTCCTTAAATTCTATGTATTGGACATTAAGAATGCAATAGTTTTTTTTTTCAAAATGGTTTCTGGAAAACTAGACCGAATCATCTGCCTCTATTCCAGCCTCTGATAGCTATTTTGAATGTTGTCGGCTGGAAAACTAGGCTCACATAGTTACAGTATGGTCACAAGGTAAATTGGTCACAGAAATATGAACTTAACTTAATTGATCATAGTAATTTAGTCACGCAAGGTAAATTAGCCACAGCAATTTTGACACATGGGAATTTGTTCACGGCAATTAGTCACAAGGTACCTTGACTAATAAATTATTAGTTTTTATACGCTCACATCTCTCTATGTGGACGTATATTGTCGGCACCCCTGTTCGTCCGTCGGTCTTTCCGTCCGTCAACATTTGCTTGTAAACGCTCTAAAAACTAGATTTTTTTATGGAGTTATTGCCCTTGCCCCATGCTATGGTGGGCGTATATGGTTGTAGTCCACTATCTTTTACCTTGTGACTAAGTTATTCGTAGCTAAAATATATTTAATCAATTTACTTAGTGATCGTGTACTGTGACCAAAATATTTGCAACCTATTTACCTTGTGACCATATACTGTGACCAAAATATCTGCGACCTATTTACCTTGTGATCGTATTCTGTAACCAAAATTTCTGCGACCTATTTAACTTGTGATCTATTCTGTGACCAAAATTTCTGCAACTTATTTACCTTCTGATCGTATACTGTGACCAAAATTTCTGAAACCTATTTACCTTGTGATCGTATACTGTGGACAAAATATCTGCGACCTATTTACCTTGTGATCGTATACCGTGGTTAAAATTTCTGCGACCTTTGTACCTTGTGATCGTCTACTGTGACCAAAATGTCTGCGACCTATTTACCTTGTGATCGTATACTGTGGCTAATATTTCTGCGACCTATTTACCTTATGGCCAACTCAATGTGAACATGTATTATGACCAAATTTCCAGTGATCAAATTACCGCGCCCTGGTACCATTCTTGACTTAAGTTGACCATACAGTGGTTGTTTGGCAATAGCTTTTTAGTCAGATTTATGATATAAATATGTCCACAATCCAAGGGAACTGTATTTTCTCGGTCATGGGGATCTCTTACATTTGTTACCTGAAATGTGTGTACAAAGTCCTACGTTCCAAAGAACGTTATTCAGCAGGCTTATACTAGAATCGGCATGAATGAAATCAGTGGTATTTGACCTTGCAATTTGTCGTCGTAGAAGTAATATAATTGTCTCTGTTGATAACAATAAGAAATCTATTAATACATGTTATCACACATGGCACAGTGAATAAAATAAACGAACTAAGAAAGATGTGGAACATGTTGGTCTATTTTTATGTAGGTCATTAGGCCATAAAGCCATTCTTAGTCTAACTCAGCCCAATGATGACCAGGTCAATAAACCAGGCTAAAGATTGTAGGCATGTCTTTCAAGTATCAAGTCATTGACCGTTACGGTTATTAGCCTAGCATCTGTGATTGAAAGTTTTCTGGGCTGAAATGAAAAGCACTTAGATTCCATTCATTCATTCATTCTTTCATATTGTTCTGTAATTTCTCCTTTAATGCTAATATGCAATTTAGACGCATCCACCCCCAGTCATGGTTTATGGACAGTCACTCGGCAAATATCGGACAAAATTGTGGCAATTGTTAAGAAATGTAGGTAATGTGTCCTTATATTATAGCAGCAATTTGCCCCAAAATGTCTATACTCGCGATTTGCAAATCAAGTCAAGGACAAACACTCCGGAACTTCGAACAGCCCACCATATAGGGCTATCTATTTCTGTATTGATAATGTTAAACAAATCGTCAAACAAACGATAACGGATAATAGCACTTAAACGAACCCATCTCATTTCTGTATGTTAATGCTGGCCTCTTACTGTTTTCAAATCAACTTCCGCACAGTGTTTGTTTAATGCCTGGTGTTTCGATCTCCACATATTGATGCTTAGTTTAGCTTATTAGACTATGGAGGACCGTGGTCATCTTGCCAATGATCAGTTTTGTATAGGTCGGAGAGACTGACCCAGTGGCGGAGCCAAAAGGGGGCAGAGGCGACAGTGATAGATTTTTAGAACTGATCTGTCAACCCTAGATTTCGTAGAAGTTAAACCCTCCATGAAATCTCATTTTTATTCTTCTCTGCCATGTCCTCAGAAAGTCATAATGGATTCTCATCATTACAATTAGGACCAGAAAAGTAGGACATTAACTCAATTTCATAATTCTTTAATATTTCATTTGAATTGTATAATATTTCATTTCAGTTGTATTATATTTCATTTCAATCGATAATATTTCATTGCAGTTGTATAATATTTAATTTCAGTTGTATAATATTTAATTTCAATTGTATAATTTTTCATTTCAGTTGTATAATATTTCATTTCAATTATATAACATTTCTTTTCAATTATATAACATTTCATTTCATTTATATAATATTTCATTTCAATTGTATGATATTTCATTTCAGGTGTTTCGCGGCCAGCCAATAGTTATTCAGTTACCAGTATTATTATGTTTGTTATATTTGACGGCTGTTTTTCTCTCAAGATTATTTAATGTGGTTCTGCACTTTGTTATCAAACTATTCTCAGGCCAGGTGACTATAATATTCTTCCGCTTTGCAAGACTCAGGAAAGAATTGGTCGTGGCATCAGAATTCTTCTTGCCTTGAAGATGCGAACTAACGGCACCTAACCACTTGTACCCAAACCCGACTTACCGACTATCAATGAAGTTAATCATTGACAAAATTGGTCCATAACAGAGACGCATAACGAAACATGAAAAATAAAATACTTTGCTAATAGCCAAACTATTGCAAGAAATTGTGTTTCCAGGTTGTATTTTAGATTTCATATGACTTTTACTTTCAGTTCTATGTAGCCTCACAAAGAAAAGAAAATGAACAAATGATAAAGGCCTTAGATAGTCAGGTACATATCAATCATATTGACAATCTGAATCTTGCTATCGTTAAACAAATCCTGGGGTTCACAATATTCAAGGGTTCACGAGCTACTTTAAGAGAGGTTAACGTACTGTTTGATAAAGGACTAGAAGACATATGACTATGCACAAAAAAGAATGCTATTTTTACGTAAAGTCGTTTTGTTTCAGAACGGTCCTAGTTTAGCGAGATATCAAGTGAAACATGTTAAAGAATTATTTAAAGGCAAATGGTCCGCACTGCCGACCTTAGATCAGTAAGTATACTCGGCAGAGAATAGTCAAATATGTATTAATTTACTCAAAATTCCAGATACTGGCATACTGGAATGTTCGAATCAACCTCGAGGTTATAAACATTTCTAGTGCCACACCAAACACCTGGTTTCAAAGATAACGGTGACCCTCAATTCCGAAAACTGAATACAAAGATATCTGAGTTTTTCTCTTTGTGCAATCGAATGTTTAACGAATTGGGGAATTAAGAGTTCAGTTATATAATGGTTTAAAATCTAATAATTTCAGATTAGAAGAACTCAATGGAAGTGTATTTTCTATATTAAAATACCGTCATGATCCAACTTACAGATTCTCTACTCGTGTTACCTCCACCTTTTCTGTGGCTTTACTTTGTCTTTACGAGGTAAGTGATTTTACTTTTTCTGTACGAGGTGAGTGACTTTACTTTGTCTTTACGAGGTGAGTGACTTCACTTTGTTTGTACGCGGTGAGTGACTTTACTTCGTTTTACGAGGTGAGTGACTTTACTTTGTCTGTACGAGATGAGTGACTTTACTTTGTATTTACGAAGTTAGTGACTTCACTTTGTCTGTACGAGGTTAGTGACTTCACTTCGTTTTACGAGGTGTCACTGTACTTTGTATTAACGAGGTAAGTGACTTCACTTGGTATGTACGTTGTGTGTCACTTTACTTTGTATTTACGAGGTGACTTTACTTTGTATGTACGAGGTGAGTGACTTATGTCGTTTTACGAGGCGAGTGACTTCCCATTGTATGTACGAGATGTGTCACTTTACTTTGTCCTTACGAGGTGAATGGCTTTACGTTCAAAGAGTTTTTAACAATATATAACTTTACATTTCAGTTTGCTTTAATCTCATTTCTTGGTGTTGATAAAACATTAGATATTTTACAATATCATTTTGATCAAGTGGATAATAATGATATTATTAAGATATTTGGAGAAGGAATCCTCTATCAACTAGATCTATTATTAACTGTTGTCAGAGGTGAGTAATGTAATACAATTACGATTCGGTTGTTTTTGCGTATTATGACTTAAAGAGAGACTCCATAAGGCTATAATTCCACCATTCGCTGACGGTGGATGCTAAGGGGTATATAATGGTCTCCACCATTGCATGATAATAATCAGTTCTGGAATGATTATATTTATGGACCAAGCATTGGTGGCAGAAATTTTGAAATTCATCTTGAATTGTCTTGGGGCAATCTCTGATATTTCGAATTTTCGAGTTACAAAGCCGAATATTTTTCCCCTTGGGTGCTTTCGCTGACTAAGGCCTATATATGAAATTGGTGTATTAAGGATTTCTTTAAGGACGAGAAATCGGCTACCTGGAACAAAGGACCCAAATGCATCAGCGGAATTTTATTTCATTTTTCAGTATCTTGGTATGTAGCCTACTCAATCTCAACAGTAGTCATGGTGAACTATGTATTAAAGATATATCTCAAATATAGATTACATAGCTGTCGACTGATGCGAGGTGACTACTCGTTTATACCACGTCACATAAGATTTATGTCAAATTCTCAAATTGTGGTAAGTATCAAATCTGAATCCCGGAAAGCCTTAATGATTTGAAAGAATATACGGCGTCTATATACAGGGGGTTACTTATTTAATATAATTATTCCAGAATTCCGATCTCACCGTGACGTCTGTAGGTCCTGTAATTTCAGAAAATTTTATATAAAGTATGACGTCACTATAGAAAAAATGTTATATGGGTCAATTTTGCAAAGACTATAAGTCTTATTATTGAACAAATGTTGCCTTAAAAATCTAATAAATTGCCCAAGATAGGCCTACCAACCGCAAGGACGACCGGCTAACCGGGTGTAAAATATGGCGCGATAATGGGCGTTAGAAATTTTACGAAATTATTGATTTTAGATGAATATTCTGGATCTTTCAAAACTTTCATTGAGGTTGAGGAGCAATCATGTATAATATTATTCACTTGGTATACCTCTTATAGTTTTACATCCACTTTAAAAGCTTTGACACAGCAAGTAAAATATGCCCTAAAAACGTCCGTTATCCCTTACAGAGTCGTAGTCTTATGTACAGTGGAGTACAAGTTGCTTATATGTTATGGGGTAAGTGAATGATCACAACCCTCACAACTCCAAGGTGATGATATCAAATTGAAACCCTCTGTTGTTTTCCTTGTTTAGACAATTGAAATATTTTCACTGTTTAAAATACCCCCCTTGTTCAAAATAAAACTTTTGTTTAAATATGTTCCTCTATTTAAGATTGTTTGTCATATTTCCCATGTTTGAAATATTTCCCGTTTTAAATGTTTGAAATATTTCCCCTGTTTAAAAATGTTTTATTCATTTCCCTGTTTAAAAATGTTTGAAACATTTCCCATGTTTAAAAATGTTTTATTCATTTCCCTGTTTAAAAATGTTTGAAACATTTCCCATGTTTAAAAATGCTTGATACATTTCCCTTTTTCAAAATGTTTGAAACACTTAAACTGTTTAAAAATGTTTTATTCATTTCCCGGTTTAAAAATGTTTGAATCATTTCCCCTGTTTAAAAATGTTTGAAATATTTCTCCTGTTTAAAAATGCTTGATACATTTCCCTTTTTCAAAATGTTTGAAACATTTCCCTTTTTCAAAATGTTTGAAACATTTTCCGTGTTTAAAAATATTTGAAACATTTCCCCTGATTAAAAATGTTTGAAACATTTCCCTTGTTTAAAAATGTTTGAAACATTTCCCCTGTTTAAAAATGTTTGAAACATTTCCCTTGTTTAAAAATGTTTGAAACATTTCCCCTGATTAAAAATGTTTGAAACAATTCCCCTGTTTAAAAATTTTTGAAATATTTCTCCTGTTTAAAAATGCTTGATACATTTCCCTTTTTCAAAATGTTTGAAACATTCCCCCTGTTTAAAAATGTTTTTGTCATTTCCCCTGTTTAAAAATGTTTTATTCATTTCCCCTGTTTAAAAATGCTTGATACATTTCCCCTTTTTTTTCAAAATGTTTGAAACATTTCCACTGATTTCAAATGTTTGAAACATTTCCCCTGTTTAAAAATGTTTAAAACATTTCCCCTATTTTAGAATATTTGAAATGTTCTCCCTTTGTAAATGTTTGAAATTATGTCCCCTGTTGTGAAATGTTGGAAACGTTCCCCCTTTGTAAATATAAATATTCCCCCAGTTTCAAAATGTTTGAAATAAGTTCAAAAAATATTTTGAAATTCCAATTTACATAGAAATGATAACTTAAATTCGATTTACCGAGGAAAATGTGAAGACAGAAGGAAATCACTAACTTATGTTAGTTTGTGATATATTTATCATTATTTGTCTTGTAGGTTATTATGTGATGATATTAGGTCTCGTTGCTCTGTGTATGTTGTTTGCTTATTTTCTGATCCTGCCATTCTCAGGGAAAGTCTCCTACGAATTTACTTTCATTTTCTGGGCAGTAATGTAAGTCAGTCTTAACTTCATTTTATTTCCAAAAAACCTTAGGGTTTCATGTGATTCTGAGGGCTCTCTGTCACTGTGCTAGGTTCTACCGATGAAACGACAAAAGGAAGGCTATTCTGTCACTGTGCTAGTTTCTACCAATGAAACGACACAAGGAGGCTATCCTGTCACTGTGCTAGTTTCCACCAATGAAACAACACAAGGAAGGCTATCCTGTCACTGTGCTAGTTTCTACGAATGAAACGACATAGGGAAGGCTATCTCGTCACTGTGCTAGATTCTAACAATGAACCGACAAAAGGAAGGCTATCCTGTCACTGTGCTAGTTTCTAACAATGAACCGACAAAAGAAAGGCTATCCTGTCACTGTGCTAGTTTCTAACAATGAACCTACAAAAGGAAGGCTATCCTGTCACTGTGCTAGGTTCTACCAATGAACCGACAAAAGGAAGGCTATCCTGTCACTGTGCTAGATTCTAACAATGAACCGACAAAAGGAAGGCTATCCTGTCACTGTGCTGGTTTCTACCAATGAAACGACACAAGGAAGGCTATCCTGCCATTGTGCTAGTTTCTACCAATGAAACGACACAAGGAAGGCTATCCTGTCTCTGTGCTAGGTTCAATCAATGAACCGTCATAGGGAAGGCTATCCTGTCACTATGCTAGGTTCTACGAATGAAACGACATGGGAAAGGCTATCCTGTCACTATGCTAGGTTTTAGCAATAAACCGACAAAAAGAAGGCTATCCTGTCACTTTGCTAGTTTCTAACAAAGAACCGTCACTGGGTAGGTTCAGGTTCAGTGCTAGATTTTACAAATAAACCGACAAAAGGAAGGCTATCCCACACTGTGCTAGGTTTTACCAATGCACCGACAAAAGGAAGACTATCCTGTCACTGTGCTAGGTTCAAGGTTCTACTAATGAAACGACAAATGAAAGGCTTATAGTTATTTTTATATTTCTGTTTTCTTATTGCAGGCCATCAATTGTAGTCTCCTACATACTTTTCTTTTGTCAGAAATTTTTCAGTGGTAGAATATTTCTTCAAAGCTGTTTATTTCGTCGACGAGGAAAGTTAAGAAAATCTTTAGCTTTGAATAATAGGTAAGCTGAATTTCCAGAAGAAAATTTGTTGAAACTCGGAGGGACAGGTGAACTAAAGCTGTAGCATGTTTCCCAAACATTACTTCACATTGTACGTCAGTCAAATGTTATCGCTTTCGTACAGTTCTTTGTACATAATACCACTACTCAAATAAATATTTATGTCGTCACTTCCGCTTGTTTCAAAAGTCAGATGTTCAGCAAGGAAACTTGTAATATTCCTTTAGAAATGTGTCTTTCGTTTCTCTTGCAGGAGGGTATACCACATCATATCGTATTTCTTGTTTTTCTTCTATGTTTTTGTTGGTTTATGTAAAGCTATTATTCGAGTATTTTGGGCTATGGTTTTAGGTATAGCCTATCTTACTAGAATAGATAGATGTAATCTCGTACCGGGTTTTGAACACTGGGATCCAGGTAAGTCAATACGCAATGGACAGTCTGTCGAATATTTCCACTTGAATGAAATGAAGTTTAATCCTACTTTCTTACATCTAAATGGGCAAATGAGAATAAGGGACATTTAGCCAGGACAGTGACGTTAGCTTACCATTTTTCAATTTGCAACTGTCGAGAGATCTTTGAACTACACATGCAGGTTCGGTTTGTTGTCTCATATGAATGACTAGATGTTATTTCAATGTCAGCCCTTCCGAAGCGAATAACTGAAAAGGGAAACTGAGAAGAAATTTCGATGGTATCATCTCGACCTGTGTCTGGATCGAGGAGTGGTCCTCCAGATAAGCGAGCATGTGTCCAATTCGTTGAGCTTCCACGGAAACATATCCGTTTTAAAATATCAATTTGTTTGTGTTTTCAGGTTATCTGGCATATATAAGTATCTTACAAGTTGAAATGGCTCACTGTCATCCTGTACTGGTAACGTTTTGTCATATCTTATTGGAGGAACAACAAACAAATCTCAGGGTTATATATAATTCATGTGTGGATTCCTCTATAAATGGTAAGAACAATAACAAGTAAATTATGAAATTAAAAATTCGGTATGGATTGCCTCCCTTGAAGTCGGTTTTGAATTTATAATAATTTGTTCAGTAATATTATCTCCCTTGAGCGTAAAAAAAAGATTTATTTGAATTTTCTCTGTGAAATTGTAGTTTCGATAATGTTCCCAGCATTATCATTAAGTAGCCTTCCATCGACGCTATAGATGGTGAGAATAATAACAAGTAATTCATAGAATTAAAATTTCGGTATGGATTGCCTCCCGTGAAGTCGGTTTTGAATTTGTTCAGGAATATTATCTCCCTTGAGATTTTCTGGAATTTTCTCTGTGAAATTGTAGTTTCGATAATGTTCCCAGCATTATCATCGACGCTATGTATGGTCCTTTTAGAAAAGTTCGTCTTGAAACTGAAAGTACTGATTAACCCGACAATGCTGTTGTTACCACAACGTCATGAACTGGGCAGCATTTTGAATATGCCTAGAACTGATACAGACTAGAGAGATAAGCCTTTATAAAAACTCAAACGCCGAGTTTTTTCTTCTCTTTCCACGTTTAAGTTTGTGCCTCTTCACCTTGGTCGGCGTGGAAGGTCATCGGTCCTAGTTACTCCTGTCGACCCAGTAAATGTTTATAGATCCAGAAGTATCATGGCATTCAAGAGGACCTTCACGAAGCTAATTCATTATCCTAATCCACCAAGGTCGTGACTAATGCCTAGACTGATATTTTGAAGCATTAATTTTGTTTTTTATGTTTCAGAGAGTCCACGCTATTTTCAAAGACTAAAACAAAAGAGAATTGTGAATCGTTGGTTAAAATTATATACATTGATTAAAAACCCCCAAATTCTAAAACTAAAAACTGTAGGGGAAAGGTTTTCTTCATTAACGTGATTGTTCTTGATTTATGGTTTTTGTTTTGAAACATAATAGTGTGATGTAGTGAATTCAAGACGTCCACGCAAACCTCCGACCCCTTTCATCTGTGGAGCCACTAGTAAATAAATACATTATAGGTAGTCTGGTGTTGGGTTTCATAGAAATGATACAGGTTTGTTGTATGATCGAAAATTGAAAACTGAATACTGAACAGACAGATATCACAATCAAGGTGTTATGTTGTGTACAATCATGTGGATATAAATAATGACGATTTTGTGGATTTCTCAAATGAATCGCTGTAAATAACAAGTCTCATGCATTGTGGCATGATATATTATTATGTTCGTATGTACTGTTTATCGTGTTTAATTGATTGTCGATTAACGTATTGTGCCAGAATTTATTACTCAAAGCTTTCAATTATGTCAGTAGAGAGTAAACATTGTTTTATGAACTTCGTGAGGTTATTACTCATTATTACCTATTAAATATTACCTTTACCCTTTTATGATGTAAATACTTGATTATATATTTATAATAAATATACACCGTAAATTGGTGCTCACTGCCACTTTCAGTAAATAGGCTGGACTACTATTTTTTGTTTGCTACTTTTTTTTTTGTATTTCGATTGGGTGGGGAACATCCTGCATTCATTGTGTGTCTCACACCTGATGACCATGGTCCTTATTGGCGATCCCTTGTCACAATTTACAGTACTGATATGTATATCACTGACAGGTGCCTTTTTTTAGTATCCATAGCACAGTAATAGGTTTTAGCGCTTTGTAATCAAAAGAAATTCCAATGAATTGATTAAAAACTGTCGCCTAATATCAAACTAGTGTCGTTATGCAACTGTGATCTGGCAAAGAAACATTTAAAATAGAAACCATAAAACGTTTGGACCTAAACGTACCGATATCCGATCCGAATATCACGTCTGACGAACGCTAGGGCCAGATTGGTCAGGCTATACTCTCAGCAGAAAGGATTTTCATTTTTTATAGAAAATTAATAAATATAAATACTAAATAATTAATTGTCAGGGAGTTTTCTTTAGTCCTACATCATTGACCTCAAATGACAAACAAATTGTATGTATGACCTTCAGAGCATACTTCATATTTTCTATATTGGATTACTCAATGTTTTCATAATGACATAGCTCATTAAGGTTAATGACCACAAACACAGATGCTTATCTGTACAAATATCGGAATAACTTATTTGAAGCTTTTAAGGTGAACTTAGATTATGCTGTTCAATTTGTATTCATTTGTGTGGTCTTAGTTGTTCTGAGGAAAGGAAAAGTTTAACTAATGAATTATCAGAAGATGGTCGTTTTATCTGAAGCAGACGAAAAGGTAAGATAAATACTAGAATGTTCATGGGGATTTCGTCTATCAACTATCAAACTGTGACCAAATTTATTAACAATAATTTTCCAGATAGATTTTCCATAATTATTCACCCGTAATGAAAAAAGGGCTGACTACCATATGCAATTCCGATGCAAGAAATCTCGTTTGGCAGTGGCAATGTGTACAAACTTGACCACAAATTTTGATATATCAAGTCTGTCTATAGAATTAAATCAAAACCATACATCGTGCGGAAAATTTTGCTAGAGTGGCGCATAAAGCCATCAACATAAACCTGCACAAGTATCCACTTTTACATTATATGCATCATTAGCTTCGAGTGTTTCATGAAAATGTTATTGTTTTGCAGGAAAACTCCAAAGATGATGTGGATAAAAAGAGCGAACCAAATGAATCATCCATATTGAGGTTAACAAGACGATTTTATACCCATGAGGCTGTAGAGAAAACATACAAACGAAAGGACCATCGACCAAGCCTCAGAGAACTGCTGAAACAGTGCTCCTGTACAAAGATAGTTTGTGAATACCTACTCAAATTTATCCCCATAGTGTCCGAAGTCAGAAAACCATATATAAGAGATTGTATCGTAAATGATTTGATAGCTGGACTGTCCGTAGCCTTCATGCATCTTCCTCAAGCTTTAGGATTTGGAGTTCTAGCGTCGCTGAAACCAGTTAATGGCTTATACACCACTGTCTTCCCACTTATCTGTTACGTCATCTTTGGAACATCACCTCACATCTCATTTGGAACCACGGCCATTGCATCCATGATGACTTCATCTGTAGTGGAAAGGGAGGAGGCAATATTCATCAAAACCCTGAATATCTCTGCCAATGTGACCATTGATGATCCACAGATTCAAGACCAGTTACTCGAATACAAGGTCAGTGTGTCAGTGGTGCTGTGCCTATTGGTTGGTATCATTCTGACGGCAGTAGGACTCTTGCGTCTGGGCTTCATCTCAACCTATCTCTCAGAATCATTTATTGGCGGATTTACCTTCGCCTGTGCCATTTATATTGCCACTAGCCAGCTGAGTAAAGCTTTGAACATCACAGTTGGTGTAGTTTCTGGTCCAGGACGACTGTGGCGATATTACTGGATCTTATTTTCTCGTATAGCCGAAACGAACTGGGCTGATGCCGTGATTGCTATTTTCACTGGGGTGACCATTCTTGGTGTCAATATCGGCATCAATCAACGATATAGAGAGAAACTAAAAATACCCATACCCATTGATTTGATTGTAGTTGTCTTGTCAACGATCATTTCAAAGCTTGGGCATTTCGAACTCAATCTAGGCGTGGATGTCGTTGGAGAAGTGAAGTCAGGTCTACCTGCCCCACAAGCTCCTGATCTATCCAGTGGAATGTTTTCTAGAGTGTTCGCTGACAGCATTTTAATCGCAGTGGTAATCTTTACAGCAACCATTTCTCTGGCTAAACTGTGTGCTCAGATCCATAACAACTCCATTGATGACAACCAAGAAGTTTTTGCGTACGGTGTGACCAATATCATTGCTTCGTTCTTCATGTGTTTCCCTGCTAGCCAAGCTCATCCAAGAACAATGATGTTGAGTTCGTTAAAGGTAAGAGCCTTCTGATGATATTTTTGCTGTTGAACACATGTTATTTCTTTGCATGATAACCTAACCGTAGTGAGGTTTTTGGCCTGTCTGCATGTTGCTCTAGATTAATGAAAATGTGCAGTGTAAGGAATTTTACTAGGTCAACGGTTCGACTAAAAGGTCATGTTGACTCTAATGCTTATATTCTAATCTTTGTTGACAGACGCAAACAATTCTTTTTCAAATCTAATTTCAGGTCAGGACGACATTACATGGATTATCGTCTGCCTTACTCATACTGATAGTTCTGTTGGGAGCTGGTACTTTATTTTATCACTTACCCATTCCAGTTTTAGCTGCCATGATAATCGTGGCTATGAAAGATTTGTTCCGCTTGATCACAGTACTACCGTTTTATTGGAGGGTTAGCAAGGCTGATTTTCTGATCTGGATAACCACAGCTTTAGTATGTCTGGCCACTGATTTAGAAATTGGCATATACTTCGGCATTGCTTTTTCCATAGCCACGGTAATATTTCACAGTTGTCCACAACTAGCTGATGGTCATCTATTAGCCAGAGCGAAGGATGAAGACCTTTATCTTGATAAACATACACGAGGTGGTCTGGAGGAAATTCCGGGAGTCAAAATATTTTCCTTTAATTCCAAATTGTACTTCGCAACCGCAGAGATCTTCAAAAAAAAGCTATATGAAAATGTATTTGAGCCTCTTCAACCGGAAATAAACATTGGCTGTGACGGAAGTGATGATATCATAGTGCCACCTATCTCAGGAGAAAGAATCCACCATATTGTCATTGACTGCTCGAGTATAACGTACATAGATATCACTGGCATCAACGTCTTGCGACAAATTGTAACTGACTACCGTCATTGCGGAACAGAGATCTTTCTTGTACGTGTTCCAGCCTTTACAGTTTCAGCTCTGGCAAATAGTAACTTTTTCGACGTTCTGCCAATGGATAGTTTATTCTTTGACGTAAGTGATGCAGTTCATGGAGCCACATTCTTAGATTTGAAGTCAACTACTGATTGAACCTAGGATGTTTTCTTCCAAGAAAATATGCGACATCTAGACATTAGGTCAAGCGGCGGCGCCAGCCTCCCGAGACTGGGGGTAAAATAGGAGGAAAACTAACTGAATGGGGAGACAATTGTTAAGTTGAGATTCAAAATGCGACAGGTTTGTGGAATTGTCATTGGCACAAGCCTCCCCTGAAGGAAAGACATCTTCAGTTATAATGATAGATTGACATATAAAGGCATATATATACATATAGTTTTGAGTTCCTAAAAAATATTTCTACTCGTATTCATGGATTGTATTAGCATTTCCTTCAATTGAACCAGAAGGGATGTGAACGATGATTGCATGGCCTTTGTCATTGGCAGTGTCACGAACGTTCAGATGGGCATCACCAGAATTAGTTAGTTGATTTTTTGTATAAATTATTCAAATATATGTTTAAAATTCAAAGCCCATTTTACACAAAAGAATTACGATCAATATTGTATCGTCTTCGAAAGACATTTCAAATTTAGACGTAGTTTGACTTCTACATTTCAAATTTAGACGTAGTTTGAATTCTCTTCTCTAATCAGAGTTCCGCCTTCTTGTTTGTACATTGTGATCACTAAGTAGTTAAAAATAGAATTGTTCCAGGATGTTCTGAGATATGCAGAAAACCATATGGCATAGCTCACAGCCGAGATAACTTGACATCCTTATCAAGGTAAGATATAAAAGACGATGACCTGAAAATCTTCATAATCTCGGTTCGAACATAAAACATACAAGATGAAAGTTCTATTGTGCCTAGCTGTTGTTGTGGTCGCTGCCTATGTAAGTACATCTCCTATTATGTTTCTTGGACAAAAAGATCCTAAGAGCTGACTTTGCTTTCTATGATGAAGCCTTGTATGGTAAGAGTGATACTTGCCACTGAATTCGAATTATCGACAAAGAGCAGCGTTCTCAGTCTACACCAAGCCACACGATTGTATTGTTGTTTATTATATTATAGGCTCAAAGCTGTTCTTCTGACGCCGACTGTTCAGCTGAACAATGCTGCCTTTATCCTCTGTTTGGAAAGAAACGATTTATTTTTGGGGATAACTTTGGACACAATTCTGGAAAATGCACATCGCTGTCCTTAGAAGGTGAAAGCTGTGAACCACCAGAGATCCACGATCCATTCAACCCAAAACTCCACGAGTGGCACTGTCCCTGTGTTCCAGGATTCGAATGCCACGGTGAAAAAGAGATGCATCAGTCCGGAAGTCACAGTTACACCAATCCTAAATGTGTTGCTGCAGGAGCTAGCACAGCTGTACCAACAACAAGTGCTTAAACCAACCATACATCCGAATTTTTGTTTTGAATTAAAAAAAAATGATACAAAGGTGTTTCAGGTGGTCTTTTATCCGTATAAACATCTCCTTTCTTACTCGTGGAAAATTTAAGGGCATTGGGTTAATCAGGTTACAGATACATTGGATATCTAATGCATGTCCACAAGATTCTTTTTGAGTGTTTATCACAATCATTACGAACAATGGACATCGTTTTTTATATCAAAAGTAGGGCTGCAGGTCTGTCTTGTAAATGGAAAGCATCTGCAGTGTCGCACTTATTTCCCGAGGATGCGACACCACGGTAGGTTCACTTTAGTGAGAAGCGTTCTTTCTTTTCTGGGTGATTTCGTGGGTCCATCCCCATTGGCTGTGCCATTGAACAACTGGATTTTCAACGTCTGAGAACCGAAGAACCAGAACGATCGGTGGATGTGTGCGCACTGTTGATGTTCGTCGGCTGTCATCAGTTGATTATGCACGACTATCAAGAAAGCATAAGTCCCAAGTGAAAGTCTTATATGGAGAACGTTCATTAAAAAAAAGACCACTTTCTTTCTATATTTTGTATTAAAAGTAACTAAATATATACACAAAGTAGAAGGAAAATTTAACAAGAAACGTATTACAGTAGAAAGAATCATGGTCGAAATTGCACACTTTATTGTTGGCAAGCATATTGAATTTGATTGGATTCTTGACAATTCGCGATATATTTAGATAATTTGACATGAAATTCAACTTCCTCGCCAATAATAATGTGCCCAATACAACCACAGTTAAGTATGATGAGTGTGCCCTTGATTGATGAGAAAAGATCATTTTCACAATATCAAGCTATTACAAACTTCTTACTTAAACCTTGAATTTAAAAGTCACCTTTCTTGTATCATGGAAGTTTGTAAATTGGGCTATTTGATTAGATTGTTTGCTAGCGATTACAGCCAATCAGAGGCCTTGACAGAAAGTCTGTGAACACAAAGGCATAAAGTAAATTTTGGTTCTAGAAAATTATTTCAGCGTTAGTCTCATAGCTAACTCTTTATTACGACTAGGATAAAAATATACCCTATAAATTGGCTCTCAATGTTACTATAAATCAATTCCAATTTAAAGGATTTGAGTTGTATTCTTGCCTATAGTTTTGAAGAACTCAGATTCACCAACACTTTGAGATTTTGATTTCCTTCAGTATATATGAAATACAATGAAAACATTGGTCCCTAATTATGCGTAATGTGTAATGTGTCTTTCACTGTGTTATAACATTATGTATCACCAGTCATTATGGCTAGAAACTCTTCTTCATTTACTACAAAATAAAACAATAATTACATTAAGACTATGTTTCAAAAAGGTCACATATAACACAACCATCAAGTTTTACTGTTTTATTGTAAGTCACTATTGCAAAGGCCCTCATATATCAATAAGCAAATTTTGTAAGGATGTCAAAACCATTTTATTTAAGAGAATCGCAAGAACCACAGATGTCTGACTGGACATTGGAAAGGTGCAAATCAATGCTATTAGTGTCCCTGATACACATACAAAGTTTTGAAAATCTCTTTAAAATCCCTTTAAATTATCTGTCTTGTATCACAAGATATGCTTGTCTTATATCAACCATACATAAAAGATATTAGTCCCTGATACACATTAAGCTAAAAAATCCAATATCTTACTTTCCCCATCGCCATCTCTGTCAAATTCATCAATCATAGCTCTTAATTCTTCATCAGTCATATTTTCACCCAACTCTCTACAATAAAAGATAGAAAATTAGATAAGCTGATCTATTATTTGAGGAATTAATAGGATTCAAAAATGTAAAAGCAAATTATGTGTCAAGTGATCATCATGAACAACTTTAAGTCATATTTAATACATTACTTTCATGCTTGTAAATATCTTCATGTTTTCCAATATTGAGGCTGAATATTTCAGGTTGTCATAGAATATCAGGCAAAACATGTGGCAAGGGTCTATTTCCTAATAATTACCTAGCAACTCGTCTTAGATTACGTAAATTAATTTTTCCAGAACTATCATCGTCAAAAAGTTTAAATGCCTTCACTATTTCTTCTTGTGGATCTCTTTCTAACATCATATCTGTCACTGGAAAATAGAAAACTCCTTATTTCATGATCTTATAGGGGATATCAAAATTTAGCCCATCTTAAGAGGTGCAATTTTGTCTCAGATTGAAGAAAATGATCTAAAGTAACTCTGTCTAATGTGATATTGATTCTATGTTACAAATGATCTCTTTAAATTTTGTGGAAATGTAAGAGAACTAAGTGTCAAATTTTATTTTGAAAAGAGATATGGGCAATTGAAATTGACTATAATCCACATGTAAATCCTGTATTTAGCAGTCTGTATCCCTTATTTAATTCAAATTATTCTATACTTACTGACTTCATTAAAATCCTCAAATGTTATTTTACCACTTCCTTCTCTATCATAATCTCTTAATATCTTTAACACATCAGCTTTCTTTACATCAAATCCTAGAGCTCTCATTGCTACCTATAGGACATTAACAAACACTCATTATCATATAAACCAAATTCAATAAACAGGTGAGACTGTGATTCACTTAATACAAATAGTTCCATATATGAAATATATAGGCAATGATTTTTATTTAAATAAGTGACCTATCATTCATTCAAATGTGTTGTATAATTGTTGAATGACCAATTTGAAATTGACCAAACATCTTGAATGTTTATAACATCAGTCCATCAAGATAAGTAGCTGTTAAGGATTCAAAAGCTATGCTTGTATACGATACCTTTAGTTCATGATAATCTATAGCTCTATCTTTATCTGTATCAAATAAATCAAAAGCTTCTTTTATTTCTTGTTTCTGTTCATTCGCTAGCTCCCTTTTCTTCTTCTTTTTATTTTTATCCAAAGCAAACTCAGCTCTGAAACACAACAAGCAAAATAATTCAATTAACCAAACTAAAATTATGCACCGGTACGTGATAGTTGTAAAATAAAGAAGCTTTGGAACAGAGAAAAAACCTTTTTAACACTCTGATGAGCAGTTATTGCTAATGAAATAACTGGTAACAAGTCGCTAATATTCAAAACCTATGGAGTTGCCTGCAGTCTAAACTTCCACTATGTCTGTTCTCTACTTCACTAGACACTAGTTCTGGTCAATGTCAGCCTGACAAGATTTCTGAAACTGAAAGTGTCCAAGGAGTACTGAGTAGAGATTTTGTTGACTATATTATTTAGTGAAAATTATCCGCAAAACTATTGAGAAAATAAACAGTATATACATTACCTCAGGGACAGACTCATTTTGTCCAAATTTGCCTAAATTATATGTATAATCAGTTAATGCTGTGGTTTTAACTAAATGAGGAAACGACAAATCTTCTTGTCACAGAAATAACAAGTTGATACTCGCGCTTCATAGACAACCACAATATTTCCCCATTTTCGTATTCGCCATCTTCATCAATAAATAAAACTAATAAGAAATTTTAAGTATTTATCTTCGAAATTTCATTTTGAAAAAATCAACAACTTAAAGTTTTTATATATCAAATTATTACAATTGTGCCAAAGTACGACAGATGCTTGATATGTTTGAGATACGAAAGTAAAACTTTTAGCTCTTAATTGACTAATGTTTACATTTTGTCAATATGTCAGCTGGTCGATGTCTGTCTACAATTTTCCAATTTTCACTGTAGGCCTACACCACTAGCAACTACTACGTTCTAAATGCAGGTGCATAAATGTGTTACCGTACTGATATTGAGCTAAACATGCTATTGAAAAGGTAGAAATTCTAATAAACCCATCCAAGAACGGGGCCGAGGTGTCTTGACTACTGTGTTATCACATCAGAATAAGGGAAGGTCCAGGGTTCAATTCTCGAATAGGTCGAGATGCCCTAGGATTTTTCAAATAACTAAAAATAGGCTTATAATGCTGACATCCTGTCAAAATTCCCCTCATTGCACAACTCAGGGCTTTGTCAGTCTTTAATAGCCCAGTAAGATGTCAAATATCATTTCATTTCATCAGATGAATAGCAAGTCCTGGGTGAGCATTATAAATTTACACCTTGTAAGCTTATTTTTTTGTTCCTGTGCAGAGGAATTGGACATTGGATTTTAATTCTTTAAAATGAGACAGTTTACAGACAGCACTATTACTGTGGTATCAAAGTGGTATGATATAACCATTTTTATTTTTAAGGCTATGATCATTTAGAGGCTTGTTATTAGATTAAAATGGATGAGGTGGAAATTCTTATTGAAAATGGTCAGTTGACTGATGCTGTGGCATGTTTACAAAATGTTGCAGACATCAAAGAAGAGGTTGGGAAAAGTCTGCTAACAAAATCATTACGCTACTATGAAAGATACATCCAACTCTGCCACCAAGATGAGTCCATCTCTAAAAAAGAATTTGTGAAGTTACCAGTAGTGTCTCAATCAGAGTCCAGATTTCAGGTTCTGAAAATGATTCAAATTCTAATGAAATTAGGAGTGAATCCAAATTATGAACTTGAAAGCGGTACACTTTTAATGATTGCTGTCAGCTCGAGAGACATGAGCGTTCTTGAAACACTGCTAAGTAATGGTGCAGATCCCAATTTATTTTGCAGACGACAAGACATGAATGCCTTTGCCTTGTCCATTATCATAAATGATGTCAACATTGTGGAAGTGTTTTTAAACAATGGTGCCCATGTCAACCAGGCCTGCTGTGGTTGCATGACTCCTTTGCAACTATCCATGAACAAGTGTGTTGAAATTTCTAAACTGCTTCTTCAGAAGGGTGCAGATATACAGCAAGTGTTAAATATTTCTGGCATGAATCAAGTTCAGTTGGCTGACCCTCCATTGATTCAGGCAGTACGGAGTGGTAATCCTTATCTGACCTCTTTACTCTTGGATTGTGGTGAAGATATCAATCAAGTGCATGGACAGCGTGAAGACTCAGCTATTCATATAGCAATCAAACAAAGCAATGTGGAACTTGTCAAAGTTCTTATTAAACATGGGGCCAATCTAGACAAAGAAAATGCCAGAGGCCATACACCTGTTGGCTTAGCTCTACTAGTTATGGACACTAAACAAATAGACATTGTTAAAATGATTCTGGATGCTGGATGCAGTAGGACCAAAACCACAAGCATAGCTCTCTTCCAAAAGGCATATCCTCCATTATTTGTAGCCTGCTTTTTAGGGAATATGGACATTGTCAAGTATTTGTTAGAAGATGATACCACTATGGATATAAACTGTGGAGAAATGTGTTCATGTCAGCCAAGGAGAAGGTCATCTACTAGTCTAAGGGGTAACTTTGAAAACTTCCAACAAAGTGCACCAAGTGATAAACATCAAAGAGGAGATGAGTTGATCAAACAAATGGACCAATTAAGTCTGACAAACTGGAAACATTCTACAAACATTCCAAAGAGAACCAAAAACTGTCCTCATAAGACATCAAAACTAGCAAATCTTGTAGCCTCAGATGGATCTACTCCATTGATGTTAGCAACTTTTGGTGGGAAAGTTCAGCTGGTGGAATACCTGCTAGATGTTGGAGCAGACTATACGATATCAAACAAACATGGTAACCTGGTTCATGCTGCCGTTGTCAGTACAGGCTCTATAAGATTTCTAGACATTGTAGTGAATCTTGGATGTGACATCAACATGATCAGTAATGCGGGTAATTCGCCACTACTCCTTGCCTCCAGAATTAACAAACCAGAGATGTGTTTGTACCTGATCAACAAAGGGGCTTTGTTGAACCAAAAAGATAGATTTGGAGAAACTGCTCTATCTGCTAGTATATATTTTGGGTGTGAAGAGAATGCAAGGTTGTTGATTCAGCATGGTGCTGATCTGGACATTTCTGATTCGAGGTAAGATTGAGCACTATTTGGTACAAATTTAAGGAAATATGTTACATTTTTTGCTCTATGGACTAAATATTGCCCGTTGCCAAAACAATTCTGCAGGTTGCACAGTGCTTCTAAAAGACTTGCAGTGAAGTATGTCCTGTTCACTTTCCTGGAAAACCTGATACCACTTGCAAGCTCACTCTGTGAGCATTAGAGTTTAAAATATAAAACATTAGGCTTGTCCAGCAGTCCTGAAATTTTCCTTCATTGTATACCACATAATTGACTGGCATCAGATCAGAAAAGTAAAGTGGCATAACTTCATTTATTTTTTCATTTTAGTGGTACCACAGCATTTTATTGGTCTGTATTCAACTACAGAGAGAAAATAATCAGATGTCTCATTACAGCTAGTGTTTACCTTACACCAGAACATCTTGCCAAGTACCCAAGAAATCTGAAATTCATGAAGAACAAACCACTGATAGACTGGATTAGATCACATATTACTAATCCTAGATCTTTAAAGAAACTATCCATGATTGCCACAAGAAAAGCATTATCTATCAGCAATGGTGGTAAAAGCATTTTTAATAGCATTAATGTCTTGCCCTTGCCCACAGCAGTCAAAGATAGTTTGAAAATGTGGGACTTGTGATTGATTTGAGCATGATCATCAATGTAAAGAGATGACTCAGAGGCTTTATTAATCTAATTTGGCCTGTATTATGATAGTTTTTAGGGAATACTTAGTCTTCTAGACACCTTATATCTTTTTCATCATGATGTACTACTCACTTATGATTGATATACTTCCTCAAGTGAAAAGTTCCTTAGCTACTACCGATGTGTCACCAAACTGTTGTTTTGGAAATCGGGTTTCACTGTTTTCCATTTTGCACTGAAAAAATTCAATGGCATGAGAAACTGATCAAAAGCAAAATCAAATTTTACTATTTTTTATGCTAGTCATCTGTTAAAATAGCTGATCTTTATAGGGTATAGAAATATGAAACATTAGTTTTACATATGTATATATATATATACATACCAAATTCAGGCAATGTTTCAACCTGCTCATACGAGGTTATCAAGATAAATAACATACATGTAATGAATATATAAAACAAATGAACAATGTTCATGTAACAATAACACGGATATGTTTATTACAGTTGAGATGAGTCAGTTTGGTCCCTTTTATGGGCGACTGCTACTTTGTTAACTTTGTTTTTGATAAGTTTTATTATTGTTGTTGTGAATGACTGTGATAAATAAAGGTTTCTGGATTATGTTTCCCTGTTGGCCCATCAAGGAATGTCTTAAGTACTCGCCGGAAGCTGTTCCTTTAAATTGTACACACCGTGTGCTGATACAAACGGTCAAACAAGGTAGTTCTTCAAAAAGCAGATGAAAATGCAAGTCTGAATGTTCAATTCTTGTTTTTTCCTTAAGGTGACTCCATTTAGCATCCATGATCTGACAAAATAACACTAAATCTCCTGCTCTGGGTCTTTAAGTATTTCACGAGGCCTTGGAAACAAGTATTGCAATTATCAACAATATACTGAAAATGTTGCAAAATGTCAGCGACGTATTTAGGTCTGGGGTGGGCCACATCCTTATATCTGTGATTTAGACGAACTGATTGTCGCACATTAGAATTTAGAGGTTTGTCTCTATGAACTTCATATTGATCAATAAAACTATTGAAAGTGACATCTATGTAGAAGTAGTATTAAAACGACAAAATCTATTTCGAAAGCCTACTCAACATAATATATTGAAATGATTTGCTTTGATATAGTGTTTGATTTTCATCGTTAAAGCTATCATGCTCTACCTAAGCTAAAGTTAATAATTAAAAAAAAATTAAGACTGCCTGTCCGTCATATTTAATACTATTAGTCGCCATATTTGTTGAAGAAATATGACCACCACACACACAGTATAAAAGTCATGTAAGACACGCCCATCAATCATTTTTGATTTTGATATCTATACAATAAAGGTGAAACCAAAATTTCACGATAGTAAACAAAATGAGGATAATTCTTGAAATATATTATAAGAGATGATTGTTAGATTGGTCATATTTTTAACAATCATATTCCTGAAAATTTACCAATTGCCTTTCATGATATATTGTGACAAACACTTCATTAAAAATACTGGTACATCTAAATCCCACTGAAGCAACACACACCAGATATCAAAGGATAAACCAGAGTGGACAGGTTCGCCATTTTCAAAGGTTAATTTGGTTTTGATGTAAATAGTATTCAGAAGTTCTAGTAATGTACGGAAATACTGAATACTTATATGGCGGATTCAAGCCAAGGAAAGACGAGCCATCTTTTTAACTTTCTAACGCAGATAATGACGGACACACACGAATTTCGATTTGAACACTATTACTGTTATTGAGGATGACGAACCTGTCCCTTTAAGAAATAATCTAAAATCCCAAAAGTATAAACTTGTCCTAAACACCAATCCAATTTTTATCGGAGAATATCATGTTTCGCACTTGATTATTGCCATGGTGGAAAAAGACCGACTAGAGACCTCGTTTGACCGTGCGGCTCGGTGAAACTCTTGACAAGACTGTAGTCAGCGACAAAAACCGCCGACCAAAAACAGTTCGTGTGCCCGCACCATAAGTGCTTTGCAGAATCCACTTGACATAAAAGACTGAAAATATGAAAAAGGACTTGTATCTCGCTGTAGTTGCTAACATTACCTGTTCCTTAACCCTGATTCATTTATTCACGATGAAGAATTCCTTTAAAGGAAGTGAACTGATCCAATTAAAGGACCACATCCCTTTCAAATCTCGGTCAGTAGTTTTGGATTAATGATACTGAATCAGTTTATGACATTCAAGAAGGTATTACTAATCACATTTTCTGGAAATCTGTAAGGTCACCGATTTCAACCTAAATTTGGTCGAGTCATCTCAAGTGGGTAAATTGGCAACAAGAAATCCTTAAGTCATTCAATAACACCATAAATAAAATTATGACATCATATAAAAAGTTTTACCCCGATAGACAAGATTCACTCTGGATTTGAAAATGAACGCAATACTTGTTTTCGCTCTGGTGTTGGTGGCTGTCACTGCCCTCCCTACACAGACTGGAGAACAAGATGCTCCGTACCGAAAGTAAGTACCGTTTAGCTCACGAGTCCATGTCCAAAGACTCAATTAAATTTGACCTCCACTATAGAATTAGTATTGAGGTGGACGTGGCTTGCGAGGAACACATGCTCGTGCTCTGGGAATACTCTCCAACTTGGTTTTGCCATATCTCGCGGAGCATTCAGAGAGCTATGAATGCTAATCTGATTTATTGTCTTCGGCATCTAGTATAGCATCACCTGAATTGTCAATTATCGGACTCCTCGTATCTGTAATCATCTGATCTATTAGCTCTAGAAACTGCTGCTTTCATCTGTATTATATTCTCTCTAATCTGGTGCGATCAACTGATCTGTAACTTTTCGAGCTCACGATTATCATCATCTGATCTTTCGGATTCGCTGTTATCATATCTGTAATCTCGGAACCGCGGCTATAATCTGATCTGTAAACTTTCGGATCCGCTGTTATCATGTTTGTAACCTTTGGGATCCTCTGTTACCATACTATCTGTAAACTTTCTCATTTGCGGCTAGCATCTCTTAACCATCGGATTCAATACTACCATCTTATCTGTAAGTTATGGGTATTCCGTGCTGTCATCTAACCTTTTTTCCAGCCACAAGCTACTCCAAGTTACGCCTTCAACAGCATACCAACTAGATGCTTTGAGGTTTATTGAAAATGGCGTGGCAACGGTAAGTTGCAATTATTTCTGCAGTAAAACATCAAATTGAAAATTTCCCATATCAGATCTTATCTCGAACGATTCAAAATCAGGACTAATATCACATCGTATCCAAAGAAAGCCTGACCAATTTGACCCTACCCAATGGCTCAGAAGGATGAGATATCGGAAGTGGGTTAGATATAATGTTGATTTTCTTGGGAGATGCTTAGTTGCTTCAACTCATTATTGGGTAGCTAATTTTTGATAATTTTCACTAATCCACAGAGAGAATTTATATGATCAGTTAGGCTATTATTCTTCATTATTCCCAACTGGAATGGAAAAGTGGAACGCTTTCATTATGTAATGATGTGCATTCTCTATTTCAGTCCGATTTTTGGGTAGCAGGTGGACTCAATAGTGCATTTATCTTCCGCGTTAGTCCAGAACACCTCAAAACTGTTCAGGAAATTATGAGAGGGGAAGGCGTCGAACCGGTAATCTTGAGCGAAGATGTACAAGAGTAAGTTCATTTTTCACGATTTTTACGTAGATAATTACGTGATTTTAATGATTATTTTAGGTTAAGTTAGAATGCTTTCATTTTTAGTGTGTGTTTCCATCATGGGTGTATGTTGTCTTCCTTGTGAACTTATTGAAAAAAGAATGCTTTCTTTTAATTCTTCAGATTATTAGATAGACCACAGCCTGAAACAAAGAACGGTGCTACCCCAGTTGTCAACATTGTGGATAATCAGCAATACCATTCTTATGCAACGGTAATAAAGCTTTATTAAAATGGCTTTCTGGGCAAGCTTAAAACAATCTATAGTGATCCCAAGAGAAGAAAAATCAAGGAGGTTTGGTTGGAACTGGAACACTTCATTTTATACATTAATGTGTATGGTTAATCTGTGTTTGTCTAAAAACAACATGCTTTCATATATTAGCGAATTCGTAATGTGTTTTAGGTCGTTCCAACCATATCCATCACCCACGTTCATTTCATTTATCTGATCCATGCTATTTCTATTTTAAATTTTCTTCAGATTCAAAATTATTTAAATACATTCCTCAACACGTACAGGGACCAGGTTTATGAAGTTGGTACTCTCAACTATAAAACATTTCAAGGACGGGATATCTCCTTCATAACCGTAAGTTTATTTAAAAGAATTCTAGTCTGTGTATTCGTAGACTTCTATTTGCACTTTTCCCTCTGATGCCTGTCCTGACATTCTAGGTTCACGATGATTCTTTCTACCAATTGGTCCTTGGCCAAACTTCTTGGCATTGATCTTTCCCAGAGTATTCTTACCAATTTACATTGTTACTCGCGCAAATACTCTTTTACATATGAAAAGCCAGAGGTTTTAATTCTCTAATGATATGCGTATGATCAGGGAAAAGTGTCTAAATGAAGGAGCAAGTGGCAGTCAGGATACCCGCAGCGAAAGCCTCTCTATCTAGCATATAATGCTAGCCCTATACATGTACCACAAACATGGACCCATAAGAATCAACTCCTGATAGATTAGAAATATACATGATGCTACAAACAGTTTTTTTTTCTTTTTTCTAATATATAGTTAAGAACAGGAAGTGGTCGACCTGTTGTATTTATGGAATGTGGTATTCACGCTCGAGAGTGGATCAGCCCTGCTGTTTGCTTGTATTGGATTGATAGAGTAAGTTCATACTATGACTTATTAAGGGACTGTCAATTTTCTACACCAACAACAATTATTTGAAACTTGCTTTAACGTTTTCATGTGGCAAATAGCGGAAGCATTTCATGCAGAAAAATAGCTTATACTTGATCTGGTTCTCTTTCAGCTTCTAGACCAATACAGCAAAAATGATGCCAAAGCAAGAGAACTGTTGGATTCTTATGAGTTTGTCGTGGTTCCTGTTTCTAATCCAGATGGTTATGAATATTCCAGAGGGGTAATAATATATATTTTAATTCAGCTTTACTCGACATGACCTGCACCGTATTAGGTCGACATGTTACAACACAATGCTGTATGCAATGAGTGGAACTAATCTTATAAGGTGACGTGTCAATTGATAGATTTGATTGAAAATAACTAAACGAAACTCTTCGTTAGATCCAATAATTTGACATTTTTTTTAAAATTAATCCAATCACTATCGACTGTTAAATGCATCAGCGGCTAAGTAGCATATTATGTAATTATATCTTGAAATTTACATATTAGCTAATTTTCTTTTCAGTCAAATCGACTTTGGAGAAAAAATAGACAGACATTTACCCACTCGGGATGTACTTCTTCAATTGGTGTAGATTTAAACAGAAACTTTGATTCTGCATGGAACAGTAAGTTTTTGGCCTGATCGCGGGTAAAAGATGTTCAAAAAGCCTTTGTTTGTGTATAAGCGACACTAGCATTTTTGCAATGTCAAGCTATTACGAACTGTGTCTAATACCTTGATCGTAAAAGCCACCTTTCTTGTATCAATGAAATTTGTCAATGAAGTAATTCGATTAGATTGTACTCTCGCGAATACAACAAAAGTTGCCATGATAATGTGTTTCAATGAATTTGTTTGATTGAGATCTAACTCTTTTACCAATGAATACGCCACCCAAGCAGCAAGCAATGAGACAAAAATATAAATTTCGAAACGAAGAAGGTTTTTTTTTTTCAATTATGTATTTTAAATTCACTTAGGCCCTTATGCTGTATTTGAACTTTACGCTATGGCCTTGATATCACTAATTGTCGTTTTTCATTCTAGCTGTTGGTACAGGTACCTGTAGAAGTGACACCTATGCTGGAACGGAGGTTTTCTCTGAAAATGAAGCTAAAGGAATAAGAGAAAAAGTACAATCCTATAACGGAATATCAGCATACGTATCCCTTCACTCTTATTCTCAGTACATATTAACACCATACGCTTTTGGTAGTTCAGTACCTGGCAATATTAATCACATCGTAAGTGTTATGGTGTTTTACTGGTTATATCTAAAGCATTATGTCTCATTCTGTATGAGTCTTTAGAGCAACGTTGCAACATAACTTAACTTTAACTCATTTGTTACAATTTTCGTTGTTCAAAGCCAAAAGGGCAAGTTATAACTGATGCATTATGCGCTCATCTCAATCAACAATCATAAACTCCTGTGTCTGGCATTTACTATTCACAACGACAACTGAAATACTTAACGTCGTTAACGTCTGCAAAGCTCTTCAACATTAGAGATACTTATAGTATGTAATTTTGTATTGATCTATGATAGAAATTATTACATATTATATGTCGTACTGCATTTGGCTGATTTGTAAGCAAGTTCTGAAAGAGAATTGTTTTACTGATAGAAAAACCTTTAAAATAACCAAAAGAACATTCTGTATCTTGCCAACCATTGATTATTTTTCTCGTTTGTTTCAGAAATCCGTTGCAAATGGCGCTTCAAATGCATTAGCATCTGTCCATGGTAGGAACTTTCAGGTTGGATCTGCAGGTGAACTTCTAAGTAAGGAATAAGTTTAATTATACTGTTAGAAATTCTGGTTTGGTTGTTGGCGAGGTTCAGTACTACAAATTTAATGTCAACCCTGTTTTTGTTTCTGTAAATACAATTTGCCTCTTTCTGGCAATTTCTGGTCATTTTGTTGGCATAGTAGTGTTTGATAAAATACATAATGAAAATTAAATATTTGAGAAATATCTAAAAAGGATGTCAGACTGTCGACTATTGAAATGAAAATGAATCGATCTTTAATGATACTTTAATGAACTTTCGTTCCCTTTTTTTATTAACCCATATTTTCAATATTGGTTAAAGCAGACTTCATCGAGCTGGGTCAAATTCGACGAACACGAACGTTGAAAAGGGCTGTCATAAGATACTCGAACCACCCATGATTTTTTTGTATTTACTAAAATGATTGTGTTTTATTTTTCAGATTATAATGCAGCAGGCGGGTCGTCTGACTGGGCTCAACTGAGAGGCGAGACTCCGTTTTCAGTGACCTATGAACTGAGACCATCAAGCAGTGATTACCTTACAGGATTCCAGCTTCCTGCTAATCAAATTATCCCAAGTGGTGAAGAGATGTGGGAATCTTTATATGCCTTGATTGTCAACCACTAAAACACAATAATCCCCTTCTCTTTGGCATATTGAGGGGTCCCTGAGGGGGTTCTTAGTAATTTCCTTGATTTGAGATGAGATAAATGCAGTAAAAAAAACACACGACAATGTTTTTTTAAAGAAATAAAAAACCACCTTAGGAACTCTATCATGTAGAACACAAATAATAATAATATTCACTATTTTTAATAAAGAATGTAAATTTAGTCATTATTTTATTTAAGTCAACTGACTCTTCAATGCATCTGAGCGGATTACTCGGTATTGAATAAAACGCTCATATCAAGAAATGAGAGACTACATTGCAACTGCAAATGGAATTCCAAATTTTGTTGGAAACTAAAACATTGGCAATTGCAGGTTTTCAGTTGTCAGATTCTCTTCAGATGTTGTCAGTTGCTCCTATATTCCTTCATTTGCCTGACTGCATATTCACAGTATAAGCCTATCTCTATCTGGAATTTCTTAGCGGATTTGAGTGAATCGTGGCATACTTATATAATGCGACCAAAGTCTTTCGCAGTTTGCAGGGATTTCGAATTTCATAACAGAGTTATCGCCCTTATACTCAAACATTGATACCACAAATCGATTTTCTAAAAAGTTTGTTTCTATGTGAAATAAAATGAATGGAGTTTTACGCCCTACCTTTCTGTGCCATGTGGGCTATTGAAGACGGGTACAATGAGGGAAATTATGCCTGGATGACGACTCTTTTTCGATTTCCAGCTGTCGATGGATCTTTAACGTGCACAGCCTGTAGTAAACAGGGCCTCGGTCCATAGTCCCATCCGAACGACTACACGCTTTTTTCCAAGTCAGCCAATCTTACCTGCATAACTGACAGGGGGAAACCGGGTTGGAAAATCGGCCTATGTCGGGATTAGGCATGTGGTATGATAATGCATGGTAACCTGTAAAGGTCAAATACATACCTAATTTTGCACACTTGGATTTGCATAAACATAGAATGTTTCTCGGTTGCGTTAGTATTTGATCGTGGCCTACTGTTTATTAAATTCTGCTGATCTGCTACGAACTAACCAATTTGTCTATTCTTCTGTGTTTTCTCTTTAAATTTTTCGAAATTTGAAAGAAATTAGAATTTCAGACATTACAATCACAAAGGAAACAGGGAACAACATTAAGGTACACTCTAAACCAAACTGAATAATGCCGCAAATGATGGAGAATAGGGGAGTATGAGCCGCTCTAGGTCCTCGGTTCAATGGGCTCATTTTGATTCACAACAGATCATGAGAATACTACTCCAGCTTGTTCGTTGCCAGACCCTATCGGCAATCAATGCTTAAAAATAAGATAATTCTGGTGGTTCAAATGTTAAATTGTTAACCCGGAATGTATGCCTGAAAAAATAGGCGTCTACTGTGTTTAACAGGCCCGTAGCTAGAGGGAGGCTCGTTGTAGTCCCCCTTCAAGAAATTTAAGCACAAACACAAGCACAAACACATTAAAGTTCAAAGATATTAAAAAAAAAAAATAACAAGTTGGTTGACAATAAGTGACCTCATGTATCTAGTGCCAATAAAATTTGAAGACTAATGTCTAGCTCAAGATATGTCTTTTTCTACAATAGGCCTTAAACAATAATAGGCTAGACCATTATTCAACAACAAATTTGCAATTACACTACAAAATACACTTTTTGGATAACACGCACAAAATGCATTAGGTTTTCAGTGTGGTCAGTCCACTTTCGTATGTTAGGTTATTTTGTATCTGCCTTAGACTAACGCAAAAAATAATCGTGGTTAGATGCACCAGTTTCTTTCCTCTAAGCCTTGCCTAGCCTACTTTGTGCAACAGCTTATTCCTTAAAAAAAGAGAATCAACATAATGGCTAATTTGTGGTATTAAACAGACCCGCAACAACAGAAACGCATTTATAAGACGACCATCTGGATAGAAAGCCAACGCTACGATTCAGTAAACACCGGTTAATAAAGGACAAGTTGTGTCGGCTGCTCTTTGCTCGACGGCTCATGAATATGCAACACACTGACTGTGACCTTGTTATCTACCAAGCGAAGAGCTAACATGTCTGAAACGTTCGCTCAACTATGAAAACTCGTGAAATTATCTCAGTTTAAGCTTGAATTCGACGCCCAGGATTGTTCTGAAGGTTAGTTTTGATAATAAGGCTTTATATTCTGTATAGGTTGTGTACTGAAAAGTTCGTTTTCATCGAAAACCAATGTCTCCAATATTAGGGTGGGCAACTGCATGAATGTTATCGCGAGGCAAGATGGCTTCCGTGGGCAACGGGACCGGTTGAACTTCCTTCCTTGTTTATGTGTGTAAGATAAATTCGTATGACGTTTATAATTTTGGAGAATGTTTTTGAACGAATCCAGACAACAAGTATTCTGAGTGAAAAGATTATTAATCTGTTGTCAAATGGCTAACTTTATCAATTATCGATAGACCGTTTGTTGGCTGTACGACAAGGCGTTACTATAAATAGATATCGAGTCTGAAAGGTCTTTGTATTGTAAGTCTGTACTATATTGTATCACTTTGTAGTACTGTGGTGTGGTTTATATGGCCTAGATATCCACTTATTATAAATATCTGAGGTATGCAGAAATAATTAAATGATTCTGGGCTGAATTAAGATAAATTTAGACATTTAACAAGTCTTGTTGCTGTAGGCCTAAACATACTATCCCAGAAACAAAAACATTTGTAGTCGTAATCATTTAGGTCAGCAAATTTCATTGTCACAATACTAAACTGTCCAACGAGGATGTTTATAGAATCACATTTGGTATCATGTTAAGTGCTACAAATAAGTTCTGCTGAGAGTCTTAGATTGCCTTTGGGTTGATGAAAGTACTAACCAATAAAGAAATTATATTTTGGAAATACAGGAAATCTTTTGGGAGGGAGTGTGGTTATTGCAAATTCAAAAGTCATTATACTGTAAATTTCAATGGAGATGAAGGCATGCCAAGGTCAATAGCATTTTGAATTGATTTTACTCTGATTACTTGTGAAAGTCTGAGCTCACTGTGGTTGAGGGAAATATGTTAAAAAGAGGGAAAAATGACAATGAAATGAATGGAGTTCTACATCCTACTTTCTGCACCTAATTGGACTAAGGGGTAATACCATACTGTGTGCAATGAGGGAAATTTTGCCAGGACAGAGGCATCACCCTACTCTTTTTCAATTTCCAACTGTCTTTTACACGCACAGCCTGTAGAACATGGGACTTTGGTTTATCGATTTATTCCATTCAAATGACGTTTTTTTCATGCCAAATCCTCCGACTTGCATCACTGACGGGGGGAAAACCCAGTTGAAAAATCTGAAGGTATTATCTCGACCCGATGATGGGATTGAACCCGGGACCATCGTGTTAGCGAGAAAGTGTCTAACTCACTGATCCACCTCGGCTCCAAATAAATACTGAAAATCTTAATGATTATAATCTTTTTTAGATAACTGATCTTCTGAAATACAGAATTCAATAGCTGTCAATTTCTCACAAGCATCAATTAATGTTATGCTTTGCATTTCGAAAATTATATCTTCTCTACGTTTCCAAGAGATTTCTTTTCAGCCTAATTAAAAATATAGTTATAGGTGACTGATTTGATGAATACATCTGACTGAAACAAAACTAATCAATATTTTTTAGTTAAAATTTTTCAACTAATCAATTTAAACTGAAATGGAGCCATAAAAACAATTTAAACCAATCCATTTAGATTTTTAAGCTTACCTGGCATCAGTTATCTTTCTATCAATTTCTTTTAGGTAGATCTAAAATCAATTTAAGGCAATTAATGGGATTATACAGAGGTTTCATTCACATTTAATGTGTATGGGGGACAATGATAGCATTGATTTACACATCCATGGTTCTTGCATTTCCACTAAAACTAAGAATATCTAAGTGCATCTTGTGATAATAATGTTAATATATATTCAACACAGTTTTTAAGTGGAATCGAAAGGATTTCAGACATTTGACTGAAAATTGTTTGATTACGTCACTAATTACAAAATATGCTTTAATCACATTCTATAAGATACTTCTAGTTAGTGACGTCATCAAACAACCAAGATTTAGTGGACGTCAGACTGAAAATTGAAATCGTGCAAATTAATGCTGTCAGTGTCCCGGATACACATACAAATTTTAGGAAACCCCTTTAAAGAGCACCTTCACTATCCGTTAGACCAATCATACCTTAGTTTCAGAAACAGGACTTATCCTTCAAATCCATGTGTATCCATAATCATTCACAATTGAAAGTTAAAAATTTGACTATGAGACTATGCCACATATAGGAATAGACAGTGAAATTTCTAGTTTGAGGTATATTTGAAGGGATTACACAATTTTTGTGTGTTTTAGAACTTCTTAAGACTATTAAAGGCCCAAATCAATCCCCGAAAATGCTGACTGTTCCCTTTTAAGCTTTATTTGAAAATATGCAACGTAAATAGGAGCAGACTAACTTTGTTTTTGCTATCTGAGATGTGAAACTGCAAAAAAATAACTAAATGTCAGTATAGTATGATATAAGTGATAATTGTTGATAAAGTAAGATTATAATATGAAGCAGGAAGAGAATATTGGTATATGTTATTTTATTGATGATATTATTGATCTGTCTCAATGTAAGCAATCTGTTGCCATAATTCTATCTCTTAAAACATTTATATGTAGTGAAATCAGAATCTCACGTGTTGGTTTTATATTTAACTTATATGTAGAATAAAATTTTAATTGCTTCTACTGAAGAATTTTCACAGCTGACATTTTATGATTTTGCATTGGGAATCCCAGGTGTAGGTCGAGATTTTTCAATGTGTTTATTTTTGAGCTGATAAAAGCTTATAATGGAGATATATTTCAAGTTGATGATGGATATTAATCAGTCAAACTTGATTTTAGCCACTTCAGTTATGGTCTAAGGATGGGCCTTTTGAATATTTGTCACAATAACCTTTTGAAATATCCTGATGACCCCTGCTTTGACCAATCAAATTTTTGCCTTCTCCAGCGCTGGGATTTTTTGAGAGAGTCAAGGAATTTGATTGGCTAAAGCGCAGGTCATCAGGTTAGGTTAAAAGGTTATTGTGATGAATATTCATTTGGCCTATCAACCCTCACAGAAGTGGCTGAAATTAAAAATAAAAGCTTCTGAAGTATTGAACAAAAGTTTGGTCTTGTTTTAATTAAACTAATTATTCTTTCAAAGAAAATTTGACCGCACAAAAGAATCGTCTTGAAAATCATCTCATATATCAATTTTTGGTTGGAATTGTAAAATCATAAATCATTTTGAGTTTTTCATTAATGGCAATGTTTTATGGAATTTATTTTCTGTGAAAATAATTTGATATTTTCATTTATCCACTCATAATATTCAGATTAACTCTGCATTTCGATGACCTTATTTAGAAAATATAAAGCAATCAAAATTGACCAAATTGCAGTGACTATGTATGAAAAGCTATCTTTTCTAATATACAACAAATTTTTTAATTTTTCAGATTTGTCGCAGTATCTTGATGATCAGAATATGGGCAAGAAGATTGGAGTAAATTATAAGAAGTGCCCATTTTGTCCCTTTGGTACCAACAATAGCCATATCTTTAAACGTCATAGACTAAGGTGCTTAAGAAGCCAGAAGAAATCAAACTCTTTAGGAACAGATACCAATCCATCTTTAGATACCACAGTAGATTCAGAGTGGGAATCAATGAACGAGACTTCTGTGAATCATGATTTAGATACAAGTGGTGGGGAGACAGAACTTGCCACTAATAATGCCACACCTGATGTGGATGATGATGACAATGAGAGTATAACTGAAAGTATTCACTCCGAAACCCAGGCCAGTAGCGAGAACCCAACTAGTTCTTTACCATCACCTAAAGTTAACAGAAACTACAAATGCAATGACTGTAGCTTCACAACCACCAAACCCAAAATTTTCTTGACTCACCAAATAGAAAGCCATAATGCAGACATTTCTATCTTTCCATGCAGTTACTGTGAATATGCCTCAAAGTATAAACATAAGGTGGTCAGACATGAAAATTTTGCTCATCTTGGAAAAATGGGGAAAAGTGCAACAGAAAACACAAGTAAACCATTGGAAAAATCAGCACCAAAAATAAAACTTCCTGCCATTCCAAAGCTGAAAGTTAAACTGTCTGGTAAGGGGTTTTCTAAGGTTATCTCTGCAAAGAAAGCTGCTGTTACCACAACTAAAAAGACAGCTTCTCTGAAGAAAGCCTCAGAGTGTGTGATTACTCTAGATCCTCCAGAAAATAATAATACCCACAAATGCAAGCTGTGTGTATACAAAGGAAAGAGTCGGCCTAGAGTTCTAAACCATGTGATGAGTATGCACATCAATGCCAAAACACTCAAATGCAAATTATGTTCATATACAACTAACCGCAAGATTGAATTGTACCTTCATAAGAATGAACACATGAGTGGTAAGCAGATCTTCAACTGCAAAGAATGTAGCTACACCAGCTACTTCAAACCTAACCTGGATCGTCATATGGAGAACCATGGTAAGGACTTTGCATACAAATGTGACTACTGTAACTTTTCCACTGAAACCTCTGGAGCTTTAGCTCGCCATGTTTCTAGTCAACATTCCGAAGGAAATGAAGAGGTGCCCATTGAAACTGAAGCAGATGGAGAGGAGATCACTGACCAATCTTTAGAAGATGGACTATACCCTTGTGAAGATTGTGGATCAGCTCACAAAACAGCAGAAGACCTTGAGAAACATATTTTCTTGAAGCATCCAGATAAACTACCACCTGAAGATGATCCTCCTTTGCCTCTAGAAGACCTTGGAAACTATTCTGATGGTGGTGATATGGTAATTGATGATAATGAAGAAGATGATTATGAGCCTCCTCCACCTAGTATGGATTGCAAATACTGCTCTTATGTAGCTAAATGGCCAAGTGATTACAAAAGACACATGAAAGTTCACTCTCTAGAAAGAAGATATAAATGTCCTGTCTGCTTTAAAAAGTATAAATACACTGGAGATCTGAATGTTCACATAAGAAGAGACCACAATCAGGAACCTGAAACTTTAGACATCCAAAAGGTATCCATTGTTCCTCACAGGAAGACATCTCCTACAGTTTATCGTTGTCCAGCTTGTCCTTTCAAAACATCACACAAATCAGAGATGGAAAGGCACTCTCATATCCATGGTTCTGAGGACAAGACATACCAATGTAACTACTGCACTTATCAGACATACTGGAGAGGGGATATTACCAGACATCTTTATCGCAAACATGATGAACATATAAGTCGAGATGATGACATCTTACACCATGTCATTTTTAGGAATGATTTAGTGGTTCCTAAAGGAAAATCAAGATATGGTAGTCCATCAGAATCTATGGCAAGTCCTGTAGAGATTAAGAAAGAAGTCATAGAGCCAGAATATAATAATTTCTATGATCCAAACCCAATGGAATTTGATAAAGACAGAGACTGGGACACTCAAAGCAATGACACGGCTTCATCCAGTGGTAGAGACAATAATACAGCTGTCCTGACTGGTGCCACAAACAACAATGGTATCTACCATTGTGATCATTGTGAATTCACAGCCAATGCCCCATCAAAAATGAAAGCTCATGTTGCCACTCATCTGAATTTCAAACAATTTATGTGTCCAGTTTGTGGTAAAAGAGCCAATTGGAAATGGGACATTCAGAAACACATGAAGAGAGATCATCCAGATACCAACTCAAACGTGGTGAAACTGTCAGAGCAAGAAGCGAGGGACACCATTGGGGACTATTTGGCTACCATGCCAGCTGTCAGAAGATCACACCATCTTCCCAGTCCATCAAAAAGTAAACCTGTAACACAAAAGGTGACTTTGAATATTCCTGTTGTTCGAAGACCGTCTCCGCAAGAACCACCACAAGTATCGCCTACTCCACTTTCACCCACTTCAAATATGGATCAAGCACCAACAATGGTTCCACTACGTCAGTCAACTCTTTCAGTTCCATCTAAAAAGACACTTCCTGTTTCAATACTACCTCAAACAAGTTCACCAAATATGACAAGTATGCGAAGTCCTATTGCAGCTGGAAGGAAACCGTATCAATGTTCAATTTGTGGATTGAGGTCAAATTTTCGATGGAGCATCAGCAAGCATTTGAAGACAATTCATGAAGGAGTTGTTGGTGGAAAAGTCATTGTATATAAGATGAATGAAATGGCAGACAATAGCAGCGAGGACACTTTAAGTATGGCACTTCTCAATACCCAGAAAGCTGATACAGACGAAAGCAGAAAACTCTACATGTGTGTTGTTTGTGAGAAAAGATGTATATTAAAGGGAGACATCAAGAAGCATTACAAATACAGACATCCTGGTATGGAAGTTAAAATTAGATACCTAGTGACTGGTAAAGATTTTCTGTATGACAGTAACATGCCAGAACAAGGCCATCAAGTAGGTCTGGACTCAATGGATTTAAGTATGAATTCTTCTTTAGATTCAAGTTTGAACTCTAGTTTGGATAATTCACTCACAGCTGACATCAAACAGTCACCAGGAATCTATGAAGCTGGTATGGAACCTCAAGCAGAGATGCATTTTGACACACTTGCAACAACCTTTGCTCCTATTGTTGGCCATCAAACCAGCATTCATAACAATCCCAAGAAGCATGGATATGTCAAGCCATTTAAATGCTCACTTTGTGGTCATAGATCTAACTGGAAATGGGACACCAAAAGACATCTTAAAGATAAACACCGAGGAGACACTGGAGGATATATAATAGTACTCTCAATAGAAGATGCTACAACTACATATGCTGAAGAATGTCTGGTTCCTGGAAGTCCTGAAAAGAAACCTCTTGGCCTACCACCACCTTCACAGGTTCCATCTGTAATGAGCGATGATGCTGAACGATTGAAGAGATTGAAATGTGGCCATTGTGATTATAGGTCGAATTGGAGAACTGACATTGTACGACACTGTAAGAAGAGACACTCTCATTTGAAACCCAGTATTGTTATTTTGGATGCAGATGTTGCTAAGGAAACTCTAGATGCTTACAATAATCAGTATCAGAGATCACACACTTACCAACCAGCTTTGAATTCAGACAGTACTTCTGATATCTCAATAAAGAAGTCACCAAGATCTTCTCCAAAACTGAAAACTGGTCAGCGTATCTGGAAGTGTCCTAAATGTGCTTTCTGTGGAGTAGGAAACTCTGAAATCTTGAAGCATATGCAGAAGCACAACATGAAGCCATTTAAATGTCTGGTCTGTGGGTTCACTACTAATTTTAGAGGTGCCTTGTATCGTCATGTAAGAAATCTTCACAGTGGACATGATTATGCTACTTGCACTAAGGTCTTGATAAAATACAGCTCAAATGATGAGCAAGAAAGCAACGAAAGTAGTCTAACACCAGAATCTTACAGAGAAGCTTATGTAGATGTTTATTTGTGCAAAGTTTGTAATTTCCAAACATCATTCAAGCATTTGTGCTGCAAACATCTTCGTGAGACCCATAGCAACACTGACTACACCAATGTTTTGAAGATTAGAAAACGTCAGAAGGTCAAAGTCAAAAGTGTTTTGAAAGGGGAAGGAGAGTCCAAAGATAAAGGCAAGAAATACATGTGCTCTATTTGTCCATACAAAGCTTTCAAGCATGGGCTACTTAACTTTCATATGACGTATCATGAACCACAATCTGGAAACAAATATAAATGTAAATTCTGTCCCTACTTTGTGTGTACACCAAGACTTCTTCAACAGCATATGAAGCTACACACCCAAGAACAAGGTTGGTACAAGATTCAAAATACACCAAACTCTTCTCCCATGAAGAAAGATGTTCCATCAGGAGATGACTCAATGCCAAGGAAACATCTTTGTGAGAAATGCCCTTACACCACTAACAGCAAGAATGACTTTATTTATCATAAGCAATTTCATCGTCCTAAACCTTCAGCTGAGTTTAAGTGTGAATTCTGTGACTATTGGGTCACTCACAAGAGGTTGTTGAAGCAGCATATGAAGTTACACACTGATGCCATGAACTTGAACATGTATGACCCTACTCAGAGCTCACCCAGCAAGACTGAGGAATCCAACATCATTTCTGATACGGTGGAAATTGCAGCCATAAAACAAAAGATCATTTCTTCAAAAATTACTGCTAGCTTAAGCTCCAGTCCAGCTGTTTCTCCAATGAAGATCGCATCAAAATGTGGAGTTGGCTCAAGACCAGGCTATGTCTTGAAGAGTGGTGTGTATCGGAAACTTCACAGATGCAAGAAGTGCCCATACTTCAATGTTAGAGTCAAAAATCTTCAACTTCATGAACTGATGCATGGCTATAGAGAAAGTAACAACCCTCTTCTGAAGTGTCCACATTGTGATTACTATGTTGGGGCTCGAGGACTACTTGTTCATCATTTAAAAGTCCACCAACCTGACTACAATCCAGATTTCCGTACCAGAGTTCCATCTGGGGACAAAGCTGATGAGAAACAGGAGAATGATTTTGATGACAGGAGTTCTGATTCAGCTGACATCCATACTGACCACAAAGTAGATACTCTGCTAGAAATTGCTAGATTTAAGAAGTTTTGTTGTGAAAAGTGCCCGTATGCCACTGCTAAAAGATTCCAGTTTCAACGCCATTGTGAGTTGCATGGAAGCAAACAAAGACATACTTGTGATTTCTGTGACTACAGCGTTCCATCCAATAATTTATTGCTGCAACACAGAAAGATCCATATGATGCCTAATCAGAATCTTCTGGCTGCTCAATCATTAACAAATCTTCAACATTTAACAGAGGTGCCTGCTGATGTAGCTCTGGCATCTGCTCTGCCACCAGTAGATATGAGAGAACCAGTCACCATCTCAGTCATTCATGACCATCTGGATCTGTATGAAAATATGGAACCAACTGAGCCTAAGAAACTTTATAGATGTGATAGGTGTCCATATGCAAATGTTCGTCGAGATCATCTCTTGACTCATCTTAAGTTCCATGTTATGAAGAGTGAATTATCCTGCCCGTATTGTGACTACAGTGTTCCAAAACAACACTTTTTAACTCAGCATATTAAAGTACACTTCTGTCCATTACCAGAACTGTCAGATTGGCTGGTACAGAATGGTCAAGGGAAACGAGCAAAAGAAATGAAGGACCAGGATATTAGTGAAGCTGTTGAACTGGCCCAAAATTGTCAAACTGGTTTAAAAGAAGCAGAAAATGCAAAGCTTCAAGATTTGTCAAAAGAAAATTGTCAAAGAGAAGAAGCTGAAGCCACAGATGGTGAGGTCACTACTTCAGATAATATGGATGAAAAGGAACCAGATTCTGGTGCAAAACCTATAATGGGTCCACCACCACCACCAAAGCCTAAGACTTCTACTACAAATGGTAACAGTGTAAATGGTACCAACACCTATATTTGTCAGTACTGTGACAGAGAATTCTCAGCATCAGAGTGTCTTCTGAGACATGAAATGCAGCATCTTATTGGAAACCACTTTGAGGTATGTATATTTGAATTTTTAACATATTAATGTATAGACTGAAATATTTTATGGTTTGCCAAAGATAATACCAGGTAGGGCCCTACCTAATCTGTGATCAAAATTTAGTTTTAGTTTTCAAAAACGGCTTTAATAAATTTGGGCTAAAATGTTTTTGTGGAAACTGGTGTGAGGTGTCATATATTTTGAGAAAAATCGACCTTGTGACTGCGTAATGTCCACAATTTTAAAACAAATTTCAACTTTTAGTGATGGACCCACTTATGTCTGGCCTGAACACGAAAGCACCTCTATTTTTGCTTGAATGCTTGAGTCTGCATGCTTGGCACTAATGCAACAACTGACAGTCTCTTTTATTGAATTCTTCAGAAATTTCTCAAAACCTTTAATAAACCAATTGCAGGTAAATTCACTGTAGTTTTGCATGGTTGTTTTAACTTGTTTACTTGTTGTGTAAATTCAAAATGTTTCACTGTTGTTCACATGGAATATTGAATACAATTATTACTCCTTTTATACTTATTGAATATTATAGGTAGGCCCTAAATAGTACAAATTATGCTAGGAAACAGAGCCATTGCTTTGTTATTTCCAAGAACAAAATATTGATGACTTTTATATTAAAATGCAGACCCATTCAAACAACTTCAATTCCATTAACAATTCTATGCTGAATATTTTTCAAAACTATTTCTTCCTTGCCCTGCAACCCAAAGTAGATGCATTGAATTTGATCATTTTCGGGGCTTATATTCATGGGCACAAGTTTGAAATCATCATCATCATAATTCTGTGACCTAGGCCAGTGCTTTCATTGAGTCTCATCTCAATACACCCTAATATCAAATTTTATCTGCAGTTGTGAATCCCTTTCTTAATGAAATTTCCACCTTTGATCAGCCTCTGCATGTGTTTGTTTAAGTTCTAGTCAAAGTTCATTAACATTATTTTGAAGTTTTGGAATGTTTTCACATTGTACGTTTCAAGTTTTTAATATCTTAGATTATATCATTAGATATTTAAATTTATATGCATATAAGTTGAAAGGCTGAAGTTCTCAATCAATAAGTTTCCGGCCGAAATGCTGGTATTTTTCAAGTTTTGATCAAGCAGATAGTCTCTACCTCCTTAACATTCGGAACGCCTGTGCATGTTTATTGACATATTGCCATCAGAAGTATACAAACCTTAAACAAAGACGTTTGACTGCAAAATAAAAAAAAATCAATTTTAAGGATTTTTTTTAGAGTCTAGATTATCCAGCCTGTAGAATGAATATTAAGAGTTTCTTTGTGTCGTTTGGACTGATGGTGATTGCTGTGATAGCTTTGTTTTTTTACATTGTTTGATGCAGAATTGTATAATCACATTTATAACTGATATCAGATCTATCTTGAATGTTACCTTTAAAGATGGGTTTTCTTATTTTTTAGTGTCAAATTAATCAAACTATTTGATTAATTGGTGTATGTAATGATATATCATGTATTCTTAATCATATCATTATGTTCTTATTGCATATAACTAACAGTTTTAACCAATCATAAATGTCCATGTATGTACAGTCTGGAAAAACAAAAAAAAATGACTTTTTGACTTTTCTTGATTGGTCACTCAGTGGAATTCTGCTGGTGATTCGCTTCAAATTTAGCTAATTATGAATTAGTTATGAACATGTGAGACAAACTGGCATTTTTCCAAGTCATTCCACTGTCTTTTTATATCAGCATTTTCATTTTCATGCATGAAAATAAGAGAACCCATCTTTAATAACTTATGGTGATTTGGACAAACTGTCTTGCCTGTATTCTGTATATATGGCCCTATTGTCTCATTTCAGAATGATGATAAGCCTAGAAGTGAACATGATATTTTAAATGAGAAATTTGATAACAGACAAGACTGTGGTATCACTCAAGCAGAAGAAGATTTTCTTCAAGAGAGTATGGATGAGGATGACTAACTTCACAATTCTACGATCATGCTTCTATTTCCTTGGCAACCATGAACATGTTGTCAGAAACATAACGAGAAAAATTCGTCAAAAATTTGCAATACAAATAAGCAGAAGTCTCATTGATTAAACATACTTTAAGTATAGATGGTCAATTAGATATCTTAGGATTATTCTGATACAAGATCAGGTCAGGTAGATAGGTCTACACTTATTTATTATGATATATAGAATAATTGATATTAATTTTGTATTAACAGTATAATTTGTGTAGAAGTTTATTAGAAATTTTGAATGGTTTGTCGAAAGATGCTTCTGATGATCTGACAAAATTATAATAAAACATGTGTTCTAGGTCATTTCTCGAACTAAATTTTCATTGAAGCATATGGGCAACCAGCAGTCTTTAAACCGAAGTATTCAACCATGAAGTCAAAATTCTACTGAACAAATGAAGTAAGCTAGTGATTTACCTACATAGAAACTCTGAACATCTGGCACTGCAATTTAATCAGATTGAATATTAAGTAGACATTTATTAGATCAATTCTATAGGGCATCAAGTGACAGAAACAGCCTATAACATGCATAGTAAAATGTTTTAAATAATGTAACAGAATGTGTTGATACTTTAGGCATATTTATGTGAAAATTAGAAACATTTATAAATCAATATGTATATTTAAAGAGATTGATAAGAGGTTTTCTGAGGACCAAGCATTGGAATGTTCAAAATAGAAGTCAAAGATGTCCTTGATACACATTAAAAGGCTAGAAAACCTCTTTAAAATCTCTGTAATAAAAGCTACAAAGGGTACCAATAAAACACTTTGTATTGAATTTAACAGCAGATTTTTTGCAACATTTTTGCTTTAGTTACTTTGTGGTATTTTAAAGGGATTCATGAGGTTTTTCAAGCCAAATTGATTAAGATCAAATATTTAAGGGAGTATGTACAGTTGTCAATTTGCAATTATTTGTAAATATATTAATGATTTTGATTTTTGTATTGATAATTTTGTAAGTATTTGAATGCAATTCCACATTGTTTAATGATTTAGATATTTTGTTTTTGTCTCTAGATGTAAAAGGTATCTCTTTATTTGAAAGGCTATATATAGTAGCTTCCTGTATTTGTTGTGCAAATTCTGTCTGTTCTTGTGGTGAATAAATCTGTAATTTGAATTAGTGAAAACTTCATGCTTCATAATGAATTTAGGATTTACAATGTAAAAAAGGCAGACCTATATGTTTTGTTGCATGCTTTTTTCTGTGGGCGACTTATCTTGATTTCTATGATCTGACCAAATTGTTATGCGACATAAGTTCTTGATCATTAAAATATTCAACCAATCAAATGCTCAATAAATGAGTTACATACTGCATGATATTCATGATTAAACATTTACATGTGTTATCAGCTGAACTATTTTTTTGATTGGTTAGAATAGCCTATGATAATATATGATGCAATATTACAATGGAACACTATATTCTTAAAAAATTCATCAGATCATACATGGCTAGTGTGTATCCTACAGAAAAAGAAGCTGAAATGGAACATCTTTATCTGCATGGTGTCTTAGACATACATGTTTGTTTAAAACCTCATTTCAGTTATCTACAACTCTTGTCAATAGAATAATAAGAAGTATGGTTAGTCTACAATTAAATGAATATAGAGGAAAATGCTACTACTTTACTTGACTTGAGGGATACAGTTGTTGAGCTCTAGAAGCTAATAAAATAAATATTAGCCAAATGTGTCCCTTTCAGCTCAGGTAAGGTGTTAGGATCAGCTCAAATTGATATCTATAATAAAATTTGATATTATTATTTTAGAGAAATCTAGTGAAATATTGCCTAAACTTTTGATATTTTTAATATGTTTATATTGATGTATTTTGTATATATTTATGTGTTCCATCCTTTTCTAGTTAGTGCTAAAATAATGTTCGAAAGATGAAAATATAATCAGTAATTCCTTTTACTGCTAGTATTCACAATTTAAGATATTTTTGAAAAAAAAATGAATCTGAAAATGGGATAAAAAAAACAAAATGTGGTTATTTAATGGAAATAACAGTATATAAATGCACATTCAAAATATAAGCAAGAGCAGTTCATATAGGAGTAAAAAAAGTATTGAGTAAAAGGATTTAAACTAGGCTCAAATTGTGTTCATTACAACTTAAACTACCTAAATATAAAGTGAACTGTTTGTGTTTGTGAATTATACCTGGATGTGCTAGAATATAGTTGCCTTTACAACATTGTAACATCCAGACACGATTCTGTTGAAATGGTTTTAATTCACTTGCATTTCTGCATACTGGTTATAATGCTGAGGTTTATTCTATATTGACTTTTTGTTTATCTGCTTGAAGGGATTGTACAGAACTTTTTATGTACATCAGGCAGGGACACTGATAGCATCAATTTTCACCATTACAATTTTTAGTCAGACGTCTGCGGTTCCTACACTGCAATTCTACTAAAACCAAGCTTTTTATTACATCATTATTGCAAAATCTTCTAACATCATATAAGGCCCTTGGCAATTGTGATGTCATGAAACACTAGTTTTAGTGGAATTGTAGGAATCACAGACGTCTGATTGAAAATTGGAATGGTGCAATTTGATGGTAACAATGTCCCTGCAACATATAGAAAGTATTAAAAAACCTCTTTTCAATCTCTTTGAGTGAATGAATGCATGCATAATTATTTGATATGCAAGTACCAGTAGGCTTTGAAAATGAATTACCTCCCTTGACTCATTTACTGATAATGGCCAAATTTTATTAAACCGGGCTCAACTATAACAACTCAACAAGTCATGTAAGTCATCTAAATTTTTCAGATCCCCCCCCCCCTTTTCTAGCTAGGGGCCTGAGTAGAGCACAGATATTTATGTTCATCCAGGTCCAATTAAAACATAACATAAACACAAGCAATTCTGCAAATTGTAAGACTTTTGAATTTTTGAATTCAGCATTCTCTTAATGACTCATCTTACACTGTTTATATAAGTGCTCAAGTCATTTAATGTTATCATTGAATATCTGTCACTTGTCTGTATTCAGAATACTGATGATATATTAATATAATCTGATGCATAATTTTCAACATTTTGTAATGGTTGGTCTTTTCATAATAGTATCTGATTTTGGTATTTAAATCAAAATGCACTATGTGCTGTATTTCATTTCTCATGTCATTGGTTCCTGTAATTCTAGTACTTCTTACAGATTATAACCTCAATGTTTGCCATGATGGTACTTGCAGTAATGGTACTATCGTTTGGGAAACTTTATAGGAATTACAGGAACCACAGAAAAGCTAAGCCAATAATTTCTCAAAGACTTGAAAACATCCACGAGTCTCTTAAAATTCTTGTGAAGTCAAACCATAGCAGTGCCATTTTGGTTTACAATATTAAAATTTAGATGATTATGAAAAGATTAGCCAAATAGTCATCATCATTCCTATGCATCTTTAGAACTATGTGATATTTGTAAGTATATTTTATGTATAATAGTGCCTTTTTTATTATTTTCAACCTATTCCTCCCTTCACTTGTGTATTTTATTTGAGACAATATGCAACACATAATAAACCAGTCACGGTTTTAATATTTTCATTATTTCAGGACAGTAGTTTTCAAACACCTACTGTTGAATCTTTCATTTGCATAGCAGGGAGCACTTAAGGGTTCTCTTGATTGTGCCATTCCAACAAATGGATGCTGGGGACATCTACCAACAATAAATTACAGAAAATGTTTTGATATATCATATAAATTTAATAGATCTATTTATAATAATCATATTATAAAAATCAAAAAACATTTCATTTACTGATTTACAAATATATGAGTTCACATAATCTATAAGAATAAGAATATCTGAATTTACCTTTTCTATAAATATCTGAATTCACCTATTCTATAAATATATAACTTCAGATATTCTATAAATATATGTATTCAGATATTCTAAGAATATCTGAATTCACCTATTCTATAAATATCTGAATTCACCTATTCTAAGAATATCTTATATCACCTTGTCTATAAATATCTGAATTCACCTATTCTATATATATCAATTCAGATATTCTATAAATATCTGAATTCACCTTTTCTCTGAATTCTGAAGTGTTATGCTATAGATTTGCATTTCAATGAGACAATTAAAATATAATATATAATATCAATAATACATTTAAAAAAAAAAAATCACTTTGATGCCAACTTAAGTGGACATATTACAGGTCTGGTTTATTTACTTCCAGTTACCATACATATAATCACAGTTTTAACTGAGCTATTTTACTATATTTTAAAATATACCGGGGAAATAGGCCCATACTCCACCACTCACATCTCTTACAATACTGACAAAAATTAATATTTCTTTGGTAAATATACACAGGGACCCTTCACAAAAAAGTTCATAATTCATAATGAAATTATATTATAAATTACATTGATAAACCCTTTTGCATTTCATCTAATATATTTCATAAAAACAAATTTTCACTATTAAAATAGTACTCAATACATCAATTGTAGAGCTATATAGAAATATTAAAACAGATTTTCACGCTATGCGATCTTCAGACACTGACCTACATAACTCTATCGTTGTTGTCTGAAGATCGTATGGTGTGAAACTATTATTTTAATTAATATATGTTCTTTAGGACTTCCATTTCAAAATTTTAATTTTCAACAAAAAAACCCAAGACCCTGTGAATATCTCGGGCAATCCCTGTACATAATTATAAGATAAGTTTTTTTTTTTTTCAAGTCCAGCTGGATAAAAAAATTCATTCGTTTGAGGTCATAAAATTAATAAAACCATTTCATGACTAGTTGGTTTTAAAAGAATTTCTACATGTTGACTGAGTTAACCAAGCTTGATACAACAGTGTATAACCTAGATCTATCTATTTCTATTATCCCTTAGAGAAAAAATTGTTCCCTTAAAAAATCATGTTTGGTCATAAATGAATGGCCTTCAGTAAATTGAGGATAATATCATGAATAAAAATATGAAATAAAATAAAGTTTTATGGCTGTTTTTCATTTAATACTGCATTTTTTGGGACTTTGAGACACATGTTTATCCCCCAAGATATTGCCAGTCAGCCACAATATATTCCTTGTTACAGTAACACATAATATATGCTTCATTAATAACTCTAAATAGATCATTGATCATTAGATAATTTTATAACCAGAATGAAATCAATTAAGATTTTAAAATAGCCAGGCAAGGTAATATACACCCACTGGCAGTTTTGATTTTAAATAAAAATATTTAGCAGTACAGTAACAATAAATAAATGAAATATTCAACCTCCAGACATACACTTCCTTTGATCTTTTTGAGGCAATACTGAATGATATTACCAAGTTTCATCAAAATCTGTCAAGAATTGTGCCTTGTAGAGTGTTACGAACAATTGTGGACGGACACGGGTGACAACAATATACGCCCCCTATATGTGGCCATATCAAAATAACAGCCTTGTGTCGACTCTCACCCCTTGATACCTATATACTAAAATAAATGAAATATACAAGTTTTAATAAAAAATAAAAATCTATTATGAATGATTTGGTCAATTATCACACATTATTAAAGGGATACAGTGGTCTAAATATTTTTTTGACTAGTTGTAGTTGATAGAGCACTAGCTGTATTTGCATTGAATTGAATTGTTGAATTGTAGAAGATTTGAACCTCAGATTTGAATTTTGAAAAGTGCTCTGGATACCTGAAATAGAGCTCTTTTCAGCTGTTAAAGGAAATATTTAGATGAATGTATCCCTTTAAGGCATATATTGGTCCACTAATAGTATATCTATATAAGTGTCAATATATCAACAACATCTCTTCTTCGAAGTATCTTTGGTTAATTCAGGTGTTTCACCGGGGCGTATTACCATATCTCTCCGTAATGTCATTTTATTTACACTCATTTCATGTAATTTCTCTGTAATATCTTTAAACATTTCATTAATTCCTATATTGTCTCTACACGAGACTTTATATACACCTGATAACACATTATCACATTCCTCCGTGAATCTATCAACGTCTGCTTCTGTGACCTTTTCCTTATCATCACCACAGTCCATAACGTTACCACACAGAAATATTTTCGCTCCCTCGGCATTCATGACAATGTCAAGGATATACTGAGATAAGATATTAAATGTTTCCTTATTATTAACACTATAACACAATAACGCTGCCTGGGCTCCCCGATAATAACTTGATCCTATAAAACTCATTCTTTCCATTCCACCCGTGTCCCATAATAATAACTGAAATACAGAAAATTACAGCATGTAATATAATACATAACATCAGACCAGTATACATCTGATAGTCTAGAAACTTTTGAGTAAAAAAATCTCTGGCGCTTAATCAATGTTTCTCTATCAATGGGACCATGGTTCACTTTATCCAAATAGCATCATATCAGGGGGGAATTTTAAACAATAAAAACAGCCTTATCATGCTAGAGGACTTGCATTTACTTCAGTCATTCATATTTACAAAACATTATGTAAAAATGGGGACAGGCAAGAAGGTTGATTGACTTCAAGAATATTTATTATACTTGCCAAAGGGCATCTTCACAACGGTCAAGGTATTACAAATTTTCATCTTATACCTTGACTACAACAGCCACTTTTCTTGTAGCAACATCTGCAGTGATTTGTTGTAGTCTACGCCATCGAATATAGCCAATCAGGGCTCTCGACAGAAAGACTGTAAATATTATGACTTATTATTTACAGACATGTGAAGAGGGATCTGATTGGCTGATTCACCAACATATAATCCAATCGAATCGCTGCATTAACAAACTAATGTGATACAAGATAGGTTGCGATAACAGTCAAGGTACAAGACAATGTTCGCAATACCTTGACATTGTGAAGATGGCCAAAGGGCAACACCTCAGCAAAGATAAATGATAATTTCAGAAGAGATTATGTAAACAAGTATGCTATCAAGAGGATACAGTATAATTTACAACTTGAATTTGATAGCTTTCACAAAAAGAAAGGACATTTTATCAACTAGAGCATTATGATAGAAGTAAATCAAGAAAAAACAATCTATTTTGGAAACGGTAGCAACATATTTAGATGTAAGCATACGTATTTATCTAATCTGAAATGAGTCAGAAACTGTTTCTGCTGTGATAGTGAGATACTTTCACCACTTCATACTGATAACCTAATCACTACCTTATCATTTCTACATACACTGTTTACATTGGGTGAAAAGGTGTATTTACCGTCTGCTAATATTTTTTTATAAAAATATAGTTCACAAATAATCTAGATCAAAACGGCATTTTCTAAACATTTTGATATGAAAAGAAGTTATTGCTATAATAAAGGTTAACATATGTTTCTGAGAAGTTTGCTTGTTCAGGAGAATTTAAAGGGATTGTTAAAAGGTTTTCTAAATTTTTTATGTGTATCAGGGAAATTGATATCAATTTGTACCATTTTAATTTTCAATCAGATATCTGTTGTTCCTGCAATTCCACTAAAACTGTGTTTGATGATGTCACTAAATCACAAAATATGCTTTATCACATAAGGCCTTTTGCGATTTGTTACATCATCAAACAGTTAGTTAAAGTGGAATTGAAGGAACCATAGATGTCTGATTGAAAATTGGAATGGTACAAATTGATGCTATCAGTGTCCCAAAATCAAAAAATTACAAAACCTCTTTACAGTCCCTTTAATATCAAGATGTAGAGATATGAGCAAAAAATGCAAAATTATTGAAATTGTGCAATGGCAAAATAATATGTCATATTGTGACTTCATGTAATCTGTGTAAGGCAAATTACATGAAGGAAATAACAGAGCCATTTGAGCTCAATATTGAATTCATCAATCAATATTCAGCTGATAAAGCTCAGTTCTGATTTGTCTATCAATAAATAAAGAATTTAGACTACTACATTTATATCTGCTGAAGGGATAGTAAAAGATTTCTAAACTTTGGGAACACTGATAGTATCAATTAACACCATTCCCTTTTGAAATCAGATGTCCGTGCTCCATGCAATTCCTAAATTTTATGACCTAGCTATGGCAATATTGAAATATTATAAGTAGCTTTTGCCACAAACATTTGAAGAAAGATTGAAATGATGCAAATAGAAGCCACAAATGGTCCCAATACATAAAAAAAAGCCAGCAAAACCTTTTTACAACCCCTTGTATGGTGTTTTGAATCCTCCTCCTAAACATTTGCATGTTGAAAAAGAACAAGAATTATTTATTGTTTCCTTTCGTCTTACATAATAAAAGCATTCCAACTTTTTATTGCAGCCTGCATCAGAAAAGCATCCTATTCAATTCGCAAATATCAAGTCTCAAATGATCAGACGGGATAGTGGAGGCGGAGGATTCAAGATACCGCATGTTGTACATTACCTTGACATCTGTTCCATTTACATTAACAATTCTTGATGCTTGATCTAAACCTATAGTAGTCTTCTTTTCATTGGACACCACATACGTATTGTTCATAAACCTTCGAAATATTGAACTTTTTCCTACCCCATATTCTCCACATAGTATCACTTTATATGTGGGTAAGCCAGTGGCCATCTTTAATGACCTGGAATAAAGCAAAGTGTAAAACATCAGATTATTTTTGTTTTTCCTCTTCCAAATCATTGAACATTCTTTGGATGAATAGTGTCAGGAAGTTCCACTTGATTCCACTTGATTAGGTACTGGTGTTTGATGTTAACTGTGTTATGTGATGTGCCTTATGGCAGCTAGTGTTTACTTGCAGTGGGCAACGGGACTAATTTTGGCAGGACAGCAGCATTAGTCAACTCAATTAGCACACACAGAGACCTCAGGATTGAACCCTGGCCATGTATTCTCGAAAAGATCTTAGTGCTAGGATGTCCCAGGTTCTTATCTTCTAACATTGTGACAGGACATCCTAGTGCCAAGATTGTTTCGAGAATATGTGGCCAGGACCTTAAGGTTAGCCAGCAAGTACTTAACTCACTAGGCCACCCTGGCTGTGAATTGTTGAAAAAAAAGTATCACTGTTAAATTTATTTTTCTTTCATAACTAGGTATATCTTAATCATTTGAAATTTGAAAAGAATAAATCGCTCTTCTGTTTGTTAAAGATTACAACAAATATTCTTGTTGATTTCAGATTTTTTTCTTTCAATTAACAATATTCAATAGAATTTTCAAAAATTTCAAAGACTGTGAGTTAACAGAACAAAAAGGGCGATTTAGTATCAAATGATTATTATAATCCCTATCCACCCACATCATATTAATGAAGCTAATTTAGAAATAAATGTTCTAGTTAGAGATATTAATATAAATGAGTTTCATTTATAGGTCAGATAGAAACACTAAAGCCTGTTACATTATAACAATGATTTGTTCTCGTAACTGTTCAGAGAATGGAATGGATGAAAAACTAGTAGTGTAAACGGTCATGGCGGTCTCCGAACAGTTCTCGGAATAGAACAGATAAAATTCTATGGTGTAAACAGCTGCTGTTCGGACGATTTGACCCCTTTACATTTTCTACAGTTTCTGTAAGCAGACGAATTTGCCTTCATCTGGGTTATTAGGACGTCTATAATTAACTCTTTTGTGAAGAGTTCCATTAATATGTGTCTGAGAACTGCAGATCATTAACACTTTTGTTATAGAATTTTTCTTGGAACGCTCGAAATTATAGTAAGCAACTGTAAAAATTTGGCGGTTTTAGCGTGTCGAGGCCTAGATCCGAGAACGGAACACTCCAAAAAGTTCTAAAGTGAACAGGGTTTATGTCTGTATATTGAAGATTCCTAGCTATGATCCTTTAAATACAAGACCAATACACATCAACTATACAACAAACAAAGCAGCAGATAACAGAACCCACTAGCAGCAGACTTCAAACAGTGGAAAGTGATAAGCAGATGTGTTATTGTAGCACCTTGGTAACACTATCTTCCTATTAACACTGTTAAACCTTGGCTTTTTTTTCCTTCCATCTGTGATTTTCAAGAGCTTCAAACAGTAATTCAATATTCTCCCCTTCAGCTAATTATGATTTTAAAACAGGCTGTACTGATTGCTTGTTAGTTAGTAAGATTGATATTTCAAGTACAAAAGTTATTCAATTAAAATTCTAAAAGGTTTACCTCCTACAGTGAAACACGGTAAACACATGTGACATGTCGATGTTTGGAAAAGAAAAGATAGGATTTTTTTTACTCCTAAAATCTTGGAAATCCATTAAAATTTCCTCAGTTTGTATCTATATACATTCAACATTAAATCCTTCATATGAACTGTCATTGTGAAATATAAAATACAAAATTGCAAATGTGGACTCCCCAAAAGAGATGGAAAGTTGAAAAACCAAGTCAAAGAGTGACATCAAGGGTTCTGTAAGAGTGAGCCTATCCTTCTGTATCTATAGCAGTAGTCATATTGGTACGAATTTCGAAATCAAGTTTCTGGACATGGATTCTAGAACTAATACATCGCATAACAGCAATCATGTGGACTCTCCGAAAGAGAGTTGACAAACTCACAGAAATTTTATTTTCAAAATCTGTCATACATTAGTATTATCCACTCCATGTGCTCTCAAGAATTCAGACCAAGTAAAATGTCATCACTAGACATAGCTTTCATATATATATTATGTTTACATTGAAATATATACACTAGAATTTATCAAAATGATGAGAAACAGATTCATATAGCATTCAATTGAAACCACACCAAAATTTTATAACTATGGGAAAACAATTCAGACTGTTAATTAATTGTTATTCGAAAGGAAGAACAAATTAAACCAAATACACTCACAACAACAGGAGTTTTAATCCAGAAGGCCCAATCCTGTAAAAATCAGTAAAGATGTAAGGCATACCACACTTACAATACACAAAATTTGCATTCAGCTTAAATTTTAACATGGACTTGAGGTTCAGATGACATAACCTAGAAATAAAAGTCACTTGTGTTCAAAATAATGAACCCTGTTATATACATGAAATGAAATACACCGTGCTTTTTTATTGAAATGAAATGAAATCCACTGTATTATTAAGTGAAAAAAAAAAAACAATGTACACATTAAATAAATGTTACTGTATTTATCAAACCAAATAATGTATTGCACCATGTTTATTAAATGGAAAAAATTCAGAAATGACAGCCAATGTGTTTAATAAATGAATTAAATTGAAGCCACTGTGTATATTAAATGAAATAAAAGCCACTGTGTAAATTAAGAAATGACAGCTAAAGTGTTTAATAAATGAATTGAAACCTACTGTGTTTAATAAATGAATTGAATTGAAGTCACTGTGTATATTAAATGAAGTAAAAGCCACTGTGTATATGAATTGAAACCTACTGTGTTTAATAAATGAATTGAAACCTACTGTGTTTAATAAATGAATTGAATTGAAGCCACTGTGTTTAATAAATGAATTGAATTGAAGCCACTGTGTTTAATAAATGAATTGAATTGAAACCTACTGTGTTTAATAAATGAATTGAAACCTACAGTGTTTAATAAATGAATTGAATTGAAGCCACTGTGTATATTTAATGAAATAAAAGCCATTGTGTATATTAAATGAAATAAAACCCACTGTGTAAATTAAGAAATGACAGCTAAAGTGTTTAATAAATGAATTGAAACCTACTGTGTTTAATAAATGAATTGAATTGAAGTCACTGTGTATATTAAATGAAGTAAAAGCCACTGTGTATATTAAATGAAGTAAAAGCCACTGTGTATATTAAATGAAATAAAAGCCACTGTGTAAATTAAATGAAATAAAAGCCATTGTGTATATTAAATGAAATAAAAGCCACTGTGTATATTAAATGAAATAAAAGCCATTGTGTATATTAAATGAAATGAAACCCACTGTGTTATTAAATGAAGTAAATTAAGAAATGACAGCTACAGTGTTTAATAAATGAATTGAAACCTTCTGTGTTTAATAAATGAATGAAACCTACTGTGTTTAATAAATGAATGAAACCTACTGTGTTTAATAAATGAATTGAAACCTTCTGTGTTTAATAAATGAATGAAACCTACAGTGTTTAATAAATGAATTGAAACCTTCTGTGTTTAATAAATGAATGAAACCTACTGTGTTTAATAAATGAACTCTAATGTGTTTAATAAATGAAATAAAAGCCACTGTGTATATCCTATTACATAAAAGCAAGCCACTGTGTCTATTAAATGAGTATGAGGTCAGTGTAACATGTTATAAAGTGGAATTCACTTGACCTATCTCAATACATTATAGTCTACATGGCTAATAACAGTCATTATTATACAGTGAGACCATGTTATAGTAGTAATCTTATAATAGTCTTTATTATTCTCTTAATGAATATGAACAACCATGTTTTACAAGGATCCTTTCTTCCAGCTGGGCCTTGGCCAAATCTTGTGGCAATGATCTTTCCTGGATTATCCTTACCCATTTACAGCTGGGTCAACTGAGTAAAGATGACATAAGAGAATTCAATATATACCACCAGTAATCAATACTTTATAGCAGACATGTTTAAACTAAGTAATCAGTAATAGTTCTCACACAGTATACTGGCAAAATTTGAGCTTTCAAATTCATGAATGTCAAAGAGTATCTGTGTTTGAAAGTTAAAAAGACGACTCATCTTTTCTCGAGACTCTGCCACATAAAGAAAAGACATCATATACAGAAATAGAAAGAGAAATGCCTAGTTTGAATATAAAAATGACAAGTCATACCCTGTGATATATAGAAATAACATATATAGAAATAGTGAATAAAATTCCTAGTTTGAGGTATTTTTTAAGGAATTATGCGATTGGCGTACATTTGTAGTACTTCTGAAGAGTATTTACATATATTCAATACTCAAATCAACCCCCTACCCTAAAATGGTGCATCTGTCCCTTTAACAATGGCAGTGTCATGATGAAGAGTTTATAACAATAACCATGTTTCCACTGAGAATTGTAAAGTAAAGCTAGCTTAGAGCCTGCTTTATTGCCAAACGCATTGCGTTTACACTGAGTTTAACTGGATCCCAAACAACTTTAGCCTCGATAACAAAGTTGCCCAATATTGACAATTCGTGATGTTCAAGACTACTTTTGTTCTAGTAAGAAACGCAATAGACCGGAGAGACCAGTACACCCCTATCGCCGAACAAAATTGCTGGCTTTCTGCATCTCCACATTTTTAGTGAAAGCCAGCTTTAATCTCGCTTTCAGTTGGCCCCTCCCCCCCCCCCCCCCCCATATATTGCCGAACATAAAAAAAGAGGTTTTTGGTTCCCGAACCACAATGGTTCAGCAATTTGCTCAGTGAAATCAGCTTAAAGCTAGCTTAAAGCCGGCTTTTTCCCTCAGTAGAAACACAGTTTATAACACAACATAGGTGGTACCATAAACTCATAAAAAATCTTCTTTAACACAAATCAGACATACAAATTAACCAAGACATGACCTATCAAAATATTATATTATACCTACATAAAAACTTTCCCAGATCAAAATACTCTTTACTTCCTAAAATATAGCTATTTTGACCTTATGAACTTCT